TCATATATATATATATATATATACCTTAAGAGAGAAAAAGAACAGATGGAGTTACAATCCACAGTTCTTAGTATTTACTTTTTAAAAAGTGCTCAATACAAATGTAGAGCAAAATATAATATTATTAAAATAGTTTTATTATAATAGATTACAATACATCACTAAACAAAAACTTTCATGTTTTGGAACTTTAATCATTCCTCATAGGGCAATGGTAGATTACATATAATACAAATGATTTATTTGTGAAATTTAAAAACAAATCATTACCTCTTTTGAAAGTTAAAAAGGGGGTGAAGTCTAATGTCAGAATTAAAACATACTTGTGGGCATGTCTGAATTAATCAATTAAAAATCAAAATCTATGCTAAAATAGAAAAATGAAAAATAAGGTCAGAGGGTGGAGGGAGGTGAGTTATAAATTCATGTCTTGATATATTGACACTCTATACATATAAAAATTTCTTAACTGTTGGATTTTCACTAGATGAAATGGTACATCCAAATGAATGTCCATTATAGAACAGATGTCTTACTGAATCTATTGTTTACTAATGAAACATTTCATCTAGTGAAAATCCAACAGTTAAGAAATTTTATACTGGCATTACAAAAAATCCCTTTAAACTGAGATGGTATCAGCACATATCTTCTTTCAACAACATTGCCTACTGTAACCAAACACCCCTTTTTAAATATTTTTGTCATTTAAAAGAAATTAGTAAAACTCCCAAGATTAAATGGAAAATATTTAAAAAAATGAGAATCTGTAAATCTTTATATGACACATGTCACTTGTGTTTACAAGAAAAGCTGCATATTATAAAGTTTCCTAAAAATAAAGTTCTGCTAAACCAAAGAAATGAATTAACAGTTTTATGTAGGCATTGTCTAAATTTTACATTAAAATATAGTTAAAAGAATTCTTCATAAATATTTTATGCATTACAATTACATAGCCATTATTTTATAAGTATATAATGATCCACTCAATTTTTATTGGATTTTTTCAACTTTAATTTTCCCCTGTTTTTATGGCCCATTCAATATAATTAGCATCATATATTAAAGTTCCACCAAAAAATTTCTTTTAACATTATCTATTCAGTCAATTTAAGAAGTTTCTATAGTATAAAAAATTTTGAAAAATTCTTAAAAATAATTTTTTTTGCCCAAGGTTACTCTATTTCACCAAATTTGAACTTTAGATTTCACTATGTTATGTTTGACGTTGACATGTCTAGAGCATCAATGTATCAAGACATGAATTTATAAGCCACCTCCCTTCCACCCTCTGACCTTATTTTTCATTTTTCTATTTTAGCATAGATCTGACTTTTAATTGGTTAATTCAGACATGCCCACAAGTATATGTTTTAATTCTGACATTAGGCTTCCCCCACTTTTTAACTTTCAAAAGAGGTAATGATTTGTTTTTAAATTTCACAAATAAATCATTTGTATTATATATAATCTACCATTGCCCGATGAGGAATGATTAAAGTTCCAAAACATGAAAGTTTTTGTTTAGTTAGGGACAGACTGGCCTCAGACTCATCCCTAGGAGAATGGACCAGTGTACCAATAGATAATATGATGGAGATGCTGACTTTCTGTACACAAACAACACACTTCAAAATGGGATCAAACATATATTGACAGAATAAAGGCTTAGCAATGGGCTCACCATTATCACCAGCAATGGCAAACATGTACATGGAATACTGAAGAAATGGAATTAGAATCCAAATCACTAAAGCTAACCCTATGGCTGAGATATGTAGATGCCACCTTTATACCCTGGCCACACCAGGAAGGGTTCAAGCTACTACTGGACCATGTGAACTCAATAAGATCATCAGTACAATGGAGAGAGAAAACAGCAACAAACTCACATTCCTGGATATACTAATATCTTGAACAGAGCATGAGTTCAAGACATCTGTATACTGCAAACCAACATTCACTGGACAATACCTCAACTTCAACTCCCACCACCCATACAGTGTAAATAAATTGGATTGTCCACTGCTTACAGTATCAAGTAAAAGTCATGTGGCAACCCAGAGACATATGAACAAGAAATGGTCAGTATAAGCAGTACCCTACAACATAACAACTGCCCTGGCAACAACACCAAAAAGCTGAGATGGCAACAACACCAAAAAACTGGGATAAAAAGGTACAAGAGGATAACAGCACTCAAAAAACAGCATCAGTCTGTCTTCTCTATGTGAAGGGATTATCAGAAAAAATACAAAAGATCTGTGGTCCATAAAACATCAGGATGACCTTCAAAAGTGGTTCAACACTTCACAGGCACCTTTTCCGAGTAAGACCCCTTATAGAGGAGAACATGACTAAGGACTGTGTGTATGCCATCCTGTGCAGCTGTGGTAAGAAACAGGTCACTTCCTTAAGGTAAAATTGTAAAAACGTTGTAAAGCCATAACATGAGAAGAAATAGAAAAATTAGGCATATGGAGGGAAAATGGAGATCACCACCCTTGGTGGGATGTTGAAATAATAGACAGAGACCATCAGACCGGACAAATATAGAAATGAATACAATATAGGAACCAGTAATACAGATTGCAAGAGAAAAGCAACAACAAAAGATTAAAATATGAACTCTGGTGAAAAAAGATTACTGAGATGTTAAGTTTATAAGTACCCAAAATTTATACAGTGATAGGCCAGTAGATAAAAGTGTTGGTTGGATCCAGTGACTTGACCTAAAGAGTTGTGAGTTCAATACCTGGCTAATGCAGTAGTGAACAAAAATTTGGAGTGTTGAATAAAAGGGAGATAACTGGAAGAGACATGGCAAATGGAACTAGAACAATATATATCCTACTGAAACTGTGAATATGACAACAAAGATGAGAGCAACAGTCCAAACAATGTAAATAATGTAACTTGCTATCAATATAATAAAATAATTCTTTATCCAGTCATCAAGTTACATGGATATCTCTTCATGTTCAATCTTTGGCAGAAAGTGAATTAAAGTTACTAAATTATTAAAACTATTAAAATCCAGATAAATTAAATGAATTGTTTTATTACATTCATAATTATTTCTCTATCTCTTGATGTTGAGCTGTTTATCTGCAAAGACTGTTGACTTTGAATGTGTTGTCTTCTGGAAATTGCTTTGTTCAATCACATTTTTTTTATAATAAAGATCTTTCTTATTGTTATACATAAAGTTCTGGGAACAAGTCATCATGTTTCCATATTCTTGAGACAATAAACAATCAAATTATCTTCCTTTTTTAAAAAATATATTAACGTATTTGAAAAATAATTACGTTTTACCAAAAGGGACATGAAAACAAATTTAAGTTAAATTTATTTAAACATTATTTATCAAAAATGTAATCATGTTTCATTTTCAATGACTGCAGTTGAATGGGAAGGAAAATTATTGATTTCACTTTAAAAGAAATCTGATATTTTCCTGAAAAATGTTTGAAAGACTGTTTTCAATTTGTTTCTGAATGTTCTGTTACATATGAAATGTTCTAATGATCAAAACAAATGAAAACCTGTAGATGGTAAAGATATTATTTTTCTTGGGTTTGTTTTGCAGAGTGTACCTTTACATTATCATACTGGAGAGTAATACCTTTTTTATTGACCAAAGCAGGACACTTTTGATGTAATACTTAATTTAACAAATTAAGCTTGTAATGGATGACACTTTTCTTATTTCAATGAACACAAAGCAAAGTCTTTTATAGATAGAGTCCTGCTTTCTCATTTTGTGGTAACCACTGTCTATTTAGTTTTCTGTTGACATGCAAAACCCATTTTTCATCACCAGTGTAGTGTCCTTAAACATCAATTGCAGTAGTTTATTAGCAGCAGCTCTCAAATATAAAAACATGAATGCTAAAGTAATTCTCTCTCTTCCGAGTTTTCCCTCTTTTGAACTGGTGTCATGAACATTCCATACTGAAGCTAAAATGGTTGTGAACATTTCCACACTAAAACACACCAACTAAGTAAGTTCACACTATAACATATTAATGAACATTTCATTTCATATACAATTTACTTCTAACAAAAGAAACTCTTGTTTTTAACTTTCCTTTTGTTAATTTGTCTAATAAATGTTATCTTTTATTGCAAGTCAATTGGTCTATTATTTTGTGCATGTACTCTTTTTCACCACTACTATTTCATGTACTACAGAATGTTCTTGTAAGAAACCTTACACATTTAATTACTGAAGTATCTAATCATTAAATCTGTAACATCATGATGCAAAAATGAAAGGTCAGCATTGCTGGTTAAAAGATAGTTGCAGATTGTGGAATGTTGTGTTTGGTTCCTAAGCCAAACTTATGAATAACCCAAATTCCTTTTTTGTATGTTTTCACAAGACAATTCTGAAATTTACTGTAAAAACACTATTGGATAGAAGAGATGATAAATTAATTCCTACCATTCAACCTTGGTTCTACATTGGTTGGTTTACTCATAATTTATAACAGTGAAATATATAATTACTTGCTGAAAACACTAATAATGTAATTGTATGGAGTGAACTGAAAACTCCAAATGGAAAAAACATTTAATCTAAACTCTTGAGTAACTACTTTTTTTCTAATTATGTATATATAATTGCAAGTGGTAATGTCTTTACATTGAATATTTTTTCATAAGTATTTATTGTTTCATGAGATAAAATAAAATCGATATTTCCAAATTGTCCTATCTAAACAGCTGATATCAAAATATAGTACCAGTCAATAATTCTTTTGTAATTTTCATCTCTATTTCCAAAAACAACCATTTGAAATTAAAATATCATTTCAACAAAAAAATTTATTCATTTTAAATGTGTAAAAATGCATGAAAACTACAATATATATCAAGTGAAATAATATCAAATGATCAGATTATAAAAAAATATGGTATTCTAAAGTGCTAAATAAATTTTCATTTTATTTTCACTACTTTGATAAATATTTGTCACTCTTTACTTGCAGTTGTCTCCCTTGTCGTTGCAAGAGGGCGTCTTGGTCTTTTGCCCACGTAGCATTAAGAGTCTTTTTCAGTTTTCGTAAGACGTGTGATAGGTTCTCAACAAAAATATGGTAAGCTAGTGTAGAATTTATTTTTTTAAAATTAATCATTCTTTTTAAACTACTTATTAGTCCGTATCTTTTTCCTTTATTTACTAATATAGATTTATTGATGGTTTGCTGTGTTTACGATCACAATTCTATTTTTTGTGTCAAAAAAGTAGCAGTTTGAATTGATTTCATTTTTTTAAAACGTGTCAACTTTGAAAATCTTCACCAAATTCCTTCTTTTTTTTTTCCTCCCACAAAAAGTTTGTTAATTTAAAACAGCTTCTCCTCTTATTATTCTATAAAATATGTTAATGTACTTCGTATTATTAATTAAATGTTTTGCGTTTGCCCGTAAGACGTGGAGAACCGAAATCATTTGTAATTTCTCAAAATATTGAAATCTGAAAAATTTACCAAATGTTATTAAAAAAAAAAAAAAAAAAAACTTTTATGCTTATTATTTATAATTTGTTTTTCTTCGTTTATTTATTAGTGACGTCTCTAAAATCAAATTAATCAGGTATTCATTTTTTATTGTGTTTGAATTTATTTAATTTACAAAAAATATTTTTCTTCCCATCCTCTATTTTAGTTTGAAATGATTAAAAAAATCTTTTACTTCCTAATTAATAGACAAAAATTATATTTGTTTAAATAAATATATCACTTAATTAAACTATTACAGCTGACTGACAAAGAAGACTTGAGTCGATTGTTTTTCTCTCCCATATGTTTCACTACTTTATATAGTCTTTTTTTAGTTTCTACTTTTTTGTTTTAGAAAATAAATCTTTATCATTTTTCTTTAGAAATTACTTCAGCTCTATTTTTTCCATTGTTAAATAGATTTATTTTAAAAACTTTTCTTTGCTTTTAACAGGCAACAATATTAAGAAAAAGAAATGAGTGTTTGGACCTAACATTTTTTAAATTTTATAAATCCAGTAAAAATAAAAATTTAAAAAAAATAACAGCTTAAATTTTTTTTTTTTTTTTTTTTTTTTTAGTTATTTTCAATTTGTCTTTGGTAGCAGAATCAACATTAGACCTTCTGATTTAAGGTTTCACAACAGAAACTTGAATTGCTTAACTTACTTTTAAAAATAAATTTCCAAATTAAAGGAGGGCCTAGAAATATAATATGAGTCAACTTAAAAAAAAAATAACGCGGTATGAAAGGGAAATAAATCAATGTTTGTTATCCAGAATTCGTTTGAAACACTGAACTTCTATAAAAACAATATTTTTTCCTAATACATTAGAATTACTATTTCCAGTTTTCTTCAAGTATTACTTTGAATACAAAATTCCGACTTTGTATATACAATTTTTCTACTATAAAAATTTTTCAATAATTTTTCTTTTTTTTTTTATTTCTAAAAGAACAGTAAAAATTACCTTGTATTTTGTGAAGAGTTTTTTGTGTAAATTAAATTTGAAATCGGAATTGTGGGTTTGAAGAATAATGTATGGTGCTAGAATTTTTCTTGTCAGAATCTATCTTGCATATTTGTAAGTCTATCATTCATCCTTGCTTTGAATATTGCTGCTACATCTGGTCTGGTACTCCTGCTATCTTGATAAAATCCAAAGAATCTGCCATATAACTTTCCACCACTGTAATGTGGGTTCCCTGTGACTTTTCCATGAATATTTTCATAATTGTTCTGGAATTTCTTCTATGGTACTCTAGACTTTATGAATTTAAGAGTACCAATAGATTGGTAGTAAGGTCTCCTCATTTTACAGTTGAAATAGCTAGGTGTAATTATAAGTTCTAAGCTAACAGCTTGTGGAATTCTATTCTGGCTTCTTGCTTTCCAGGCGACTTTGATCTTCAAAAATTTAAATGTGATGTCAATATCTTGTCATCTTTTTTTGTTTATTGTTCTCTCTCCTCAATAGTGCTTTTTTACACTCGGTAACTCTGTATCTTCATGGCTTTATTGCCTTGCTTTAGGGTTAAATAATAAAAAAAAATTCTTTGCTATTCAGATTGGTAGTTTTTAGGTGTCTACTTTACTTGGTAACCTTGGAATTTCTGAATCTATATTCAATCCATGTGTAGATTGTTCATTTCTCTTGGATAATGTAGTATTGAAATGTTCAAGCCTTAAACCTAATGTCTGTACTTGGTAAATTAATTTAAAAAAAAAATGACAGCCACCAAACACACAATTTGTATCCAATTACCAAATTATGAATTGTGGTTGCTATCAAATCCCTAAAACATACACTATTCATACTCTGTGTGTGTGTGTGTGTATATATATATATATATATATATATAATTTCAGTTTGAGATTTTATGCTGGCTTTGTTTCATGTCATCATAAAAATGAAAACCATTTTGGCCAAATACAAAGTTCACTGTTGAGTGATGAAATTTGACTTTAACAAATCAAACAGATGAAATACTAGCAGCACCAAGTTTAAATGTTATTAGTATTATTTTGATACTTTATGACAGTTAAAAAAAACTTTTTTGCAAAAGCAGTAAGAGTTTATTCTTCTAAATTGAATGTTCTCATTTTGTATTTTCGCAAAAAGTAAATTCATTTTTTTTATCACTCTTCTAAATTGTTGGCTCAATGTGTAGCATTTTATGAACTTTATTAATTTATCTCTATGTTGTAATAACTTGGTTGAACATTTAGGATTGAGAGGATGTTGTCATATAACTTATTTCTTGCTGGATTATCTTTTGACATTTCCTTAACAGAAAAAAATCTTTCAGGATAGTTAATTTTGCCAATATTTAATAAAACTTGGCAAGTTCTGATATGAGGAGGGGGTAACATTCATACAAGACAAATTAGATTTTCATTTCTTAGTCTACACTGCATAAGAATTTGGTTATGCATTAGATTTGGATTTACTTTTTTTTTTCTTTTTTTTTTTTCTTTTAAATTTGTTTTAAAACCTTTCTCCAAACAGATTAAGAAGTCTTGAATTGTGGAAAGACTAGTAAGCATCCAAAGTTCCTTAAACATGACATTGCCAGTTTATAAAAAGTTATTAACAAAAATAATCTGTAAATTATCTAAATCATGATGAGGAATATCTTCATCTTAGAAACTTTCCACAGAAAATAATTTTAATGTCTTATGTTATGAATTTTTAGATATAGCAGACTCATTTTTAGTCCCCACCTTTTTTAAATATGGTAGTGTTAAGTTACAAATTTTTTTTAGACTATTTACATAAATGGAAGAAACTCTCATGTGTTATTTTTTTAAAAGTAAACTATTTAAAAAAACAAAAATGAAAATTTCTTGGCAATTTTTATTCCTTGGTGCCAACATTGAGTATCATGCTTTTCTTGATTACAAGACATTATCTTCTGGTTACTCTCATTCTATTATAAGAATTTAAGGTTAGAAGAACAGTTTTTTTTTTTTTTTTTTAGACAAAAGTAAAATTGTATTGAATTGTTTCATCTCTGCTTGCAGCCAGTTCCTCCCAGTTCTACTAATGTGGGTGCAGGACGAGGCCCCAGCTCTAAGTCTGTAGCACCACGTGTTGGAGGTAGCAATGTCAGACAGAGGTGAGAGATTTTTTGATTTTTTTTTTTTTTTTTTACACAATACTTGCTTAAAAAAAGGTTTCATTGCAATACCCCCTTGTTCATTTGTCTAATTTTAAAAACACACCTCTTGTAAAACTTTTCTATTACTTATTAAAATGAAAATAAAAAAATTTTGTTTCCTTATTTCAGGAAACAAAAAAATGTAAGAATGGATAATTTTGTGATATTTATCACAAAATTATCTTACTTTTTTTTTCTTTTTTTAATATTTAGACAATCATAAAATGAACTTTTATCAAGCAATAATTTCCCAAGCTGATAATTTGATTTTCATGTCAGTTAAAACAAAATTGTGCAATAATGGAATTTCAGTATGGATAAATATTAAGATAGGAAATAATTTTTCATGATCTGTACTGTTGCCATCAACTTAAATGAATTTCATTAACTAAATCTTGCTTTTCTAAAGCTGTACAGCTCATTTCTAATATTTTCCTCTTTAAGGAAAACGACGACGACAGCAGCAAAACGCACAGCAACAACTGGTGGAGGTGGTGGTGCTGGAATGTGGCGGTTCTACACAGAAGATTCTCCTGGAATCAAAGTGTGAGTTTATTCACTTATATTTGGTTCCATCTTGTTTTTTTTTTTAAAAGAAATTGGAAAGAAACACATGTTTGGTAAGAGTTTAGCATTTCTTTTATTTATATAAAACTAAGAAAAAGCATTCAAATGACAACTTAAAAAAATAGTACTTAACATTTACATGATTATTTTAATATCTCCTGTTATAAATTGCCTGAAATTTAACTTCTTTTTTATTCATTAATTGGTAAGGTCTTCTATTTGCTTCTGTTTCAGTGGTCCTGTACCTGTCCTTGTGATGAGTCTACTCTTCATTGCGTCTGTGTTTATGCTACACATCTGGGGTAAATATACCCGTGGATAAACCTTTTCCAACTTGACCACCTTCATCTCACCAAGCATCATAACAGCCACCTAATTGACATGATAAATTTGTCCACATCTGAATTCTATTCTGATGTTGCATTCCAATGATGTGAAAGCAATCTTTACTGGTGAAGAGACATTTTGTATTGAAAAATAAAATAAAGAAAACTGCAACCAAGTATAGCTATTAGATTCTTTAATCTTCAAAAAGATTATTTCTTTTTTTCTTCTATATTTAATAGATGATACTTGTAGGTCTTCTATAGTCACTGAGCCATTTCTCTCTCTGTTGATAGAAACTGAAATGGAAGAAATAGAAACATTATTTCTTTTTTACTTTTAGGTGTAACAATTTTCAGAGGAACAGAAGACAAAATAGTAATTGACAAAATTAGGCCTTTTTCTGTATCGGATTGTACTATTTTCTAAATATTATATTTTGAAACTTCTTAATGTTATTTTCAAGAAATGAAAATTCAATAAGGATTACTTACTCTGGAGAAAACATCATTCTCCTGTATTTAGGGAACCATTCTGGAGGAGTCTGTGAGATATTTTTTACTTCCAAACTAGGAATATATTCTCTGAAAAGAGGAAAATTATCACTGAATTTAAATATTTAACTCAAGGCTTACTAATATTTTAAGATATGTTTAAAACGTTTTATTTTAGGATTAAGATTTGGTTTTTCAGATTTTTATAAGCATTGTCTAAGAATTAATTGAACTTAGAATTAAAAAAAAAAATTATACCTTCAGATACTTACTTTTCTTCTCTTTCTGGTCTGTATTGGAGATGATATCTCATCCAAGGAGAGAGTTCCTAAAATTAAATTTGGAATAAACTGGTTTTAAATAGTAACTTAATTTATTTCTTTGAAAGAACTGCTAGATATGCATATATTTCTCTTTTACATAAAGTACACAATATATTAAATTTAATACAAATAAATTTGCATCTGTAATTAAGTTATACAGCTTTTAGAATGACAGTGAAAGTAAGTATTTACTAAGCTTAATTTGATGATTAAGTGGAGGGAAATGTCAGATGGAAAATTGTGTTGCACAGACTTCTCAAGTAGAGAGGATCAGCTTGTTTTTGAAAATCTTGATTTGGCTAAACTCTAACATTTCCTGCTGCTTGGTGCTGGTCACCAAACCAATGAAGATTGAATTTATAAATAGATGAAAAATTGAACAATTGTTTTGGCTAATATACTTTGTTTGAAGCAATATGTTCAAATACTAATGAATAAGGGAAAAAAATATAAACACAATGTGAGATGTTTGCTCTCATGAAAGCATTTTTATGGATGAGAATTTTAGAAATATTTTATATAATTTTTTTTTTTTTTAATTTCTACCATTCATCAGGATTGTTCTGAATAAACCTATAAATGTGCAATAAACGGCTCAAGTTATATAACTTTATCGGTTCAAAGACATTTTAAATAGAATTAGCAAGTTTTCCTCACAATTAAAACTTGATCGATGAATTCTTGCCAACACTGACCAAGCCTCTAAAAAATTTTTTCTTAATACATTTTAAACAAAAATGATCAAAACAGTCTGGTATGAAATATTTTTTTTAATATTTATTAAGCTTACCTTAGAACTTTAATTTAAATTAAGAGAGAAATAGTAAATAAGATTGTTGTAAGGAAGGCCTACTTGTCTGCCTTAACAGCCAGAATTTGAAATTCTGATGCTGTTATACTCAACTATCTCATTTTTAGATCCTTGAATATTCTGTAGACTGCACACTTTCATGTCTTTCATGTAGTCAGCTTCTCTTACTCTCTGGACAGACACATCATTCATTTGCTTACAATGTGAAATCATAAAATTAAATTCTATAATAAGCTTCATTATCTGTAATGTCAATTTTAATATGAATAAAGAAAAAAACAATCCGTACATCAACTGAGTAAAATGCTTTGTTGCTCCATAACAAATCGGATGAGGTAATGTTTGCAAGAGATTTCTGGTAAGCTCTTGGACCTGAAAAAAAATTTTAAAAATTGTACAATAAATCTGAGGTATAAAAGTTGTGTGAGTGAAATAGATCCTGAATAAACATAACTTGTATCTGTTGTGTGACCATGTCTGAATAGAAATTCATTTAATCAAAAATTATATATACAAGTAATATAAGTAAAATTCATGAGTAGATGTGATTTTTATAAAAAATATTCAAGTTCCAGGATTGTACTCATTGCTAGAAGAAAAGCTGTCATTTTCTTAGAGAATTTTTTATGCCTACTGTATAGTGAGTATATGGATTCATTAATAAACAAAGCTCGCTTTGTGTGTGTGCACTAAATCTTATTTACTAATAAGAAAAGAAAAAAATGCAGATCTCAGAAAGATGCCATCTCTGGTCATTTTCCTTTTAAAACCTTAATGCTGAAACAGTAACTGCTGTTTGGTATTGGTGAAAATAGGATGATTTTTTTTTTTTTTAATTTTGAGTGCTGTTATTTTAAGCATAACTGATGTGTCTGTTTAGCTAAGGTGCAAGTTTGATGCCAACTCACTGTGTGCGCCATCTGGAACATAAAACTCCTGGTGGGGTTTCTGTAATCAAACAGTTTCACAGAGTGGGGTGATTGGTCCCATGACCAATCATCCTTACTTTTGTTTTTCTGTCAGTTTTCCTTCCCTTAGACAACCATGTGTCTTCACACTAATGAGTTCTATTTACCCATGTTTAAGAATTCTGAGATGAATTTAAACCTTCCCCAAGAGTATTTACACAAAATGAATGTAATGATCTTGACTGGAATTCAAACTTTGTTCATCAATTTCTTGTTCTGAGTCAATAATCACTACACCACCCACACATCCATATCGCAGGTATAACCAAGCTTAAATACTCCGCTTGTTTAAGCTATTCAAATTTGAAACAGCCACATATTTTGCATGCACACTGCAGTAAAATAAATTTCTTTAGGTGACACTAAAATTAGCTGATAATGATTAAATATTTTGTGTCCTTATCTTTTCCATCACTTTTTTTTTTAACTGGAGATTCACAAAAGTTGGGCTAAATATTATATAAATTTTGAAATATGTAATTTGTAACTATTTGCACAAGGATAAAATGTAAGAATTATTACCAGAACCAAATTAGTCAAAGAAGTTTTAATTAACCAATGTATAGCTTCCAAAAAAGATACTTGGAATTTATTATATTATTGTACTGTTGTCATCGATATATTTTTTCTTCCTCACATTGCCATATTGAGAAAAGGAAATCTTACCAGCACTTTCTGACCATCTCTGTTCCATCTCTGTGTTTTTCATGTCAGTCAATATGGAGTAACCTGTATCCACATAAATTGGAAGAAAACCTTTCCATGGCAGATTTGCTGCTGATCTTTGCTTGAAATCTCTTTCTCTACTTGACCTTTCTCCTCTGAAGTCACTTTTCTTGAGCATTTCTGTCAAAAATCAAAATTTTATTCAGGCTTAATGAGTACAAATTTGAAAAGATTGTTATTCTGTACAACACAAGATGCTAAGAATGATGAAAGCCAGCCAAGTTATATCAAGGATATACGATTTATACTGAGCGACAAGACAAAAATTTAAAATGTATTCATTTAAAATTTACTACATTGCATTGTTAACAGATTTTTTTTATCTTTCTATATTGAAAAAGTAAATCATACCAGCATTTCCTGACCATCTTTGTTGTTTTGCTTCAGCCAATTTGTGATCAATTGTACTAGAAAAGGTCTTTTGAATATTTGACCACGGAAGATCATGGACCCATGTCTTGATTAAATTTGTTTCTTCATCTCTCTCTTTAATGGGTTTTACTCTGTAGGCTCTCTTCTTGCTCCAATCTTCAAAAGCAGTAAATTGGAAATGGTTTTGAGAAAAATCTAAATCATATTATTTATTTTTTTTTTTCAGATTAAGTTATCCTCAGATTAAAACTCTAAATATAACTTATTTTGGAACTATTGTTAAAGAAATTACCATGACACATGATTTTTTAATAATTTTCAGCTCTTTTCTTGGCTTATAAAATGACCCGTTTCTTATTGATGTCGAATGATGCTGAGAGAAACAATAGTAGCAACTGACAACAGCTGAAACCAATTTTTCAGTTCACATTCGATTGTCTCTTGTACCGTTAGTGTATATATAACCAACCATGACCTAATGTCATCTGTAGTAGCTTGTAGAAATTCAGTTTTTCCTAAAACTGAATTTCTACAAGCTACTACAGATGTATTTTAGAGTACATCTAGTACCAATTCATGATCTGGATTTGCACTTTTAGCTTATAACAGATAAAATATCAGGTTGTTCAACATGAAATTTATTGATTTATTGAAACAAAATACTTATAGAAAAAATGAGTTCTTCACACAAAATATACATTCCCTTTTGTGTCTGTCCTCTTCCATCTTAGCAGAAAGTTATTGATTCCCTTCCTGAAGAATTCTTCATTAAAAAACAATTCAATTTTTTTTTTCTTTAATTGGAGAAATTCTGTAATGAAGCAAAGTGACATCCTTTCTTTTCATCACATCTAGTGATTTTGAGAATTCTGTCCTTTTTCCTGATATCTTGAGAAAAATGTCCTGTCTGATATATCAATGGTTAAGGAGAATAGGTAAGTCCTTCAACAAGCAACTCTCCCACAAATACTTTCCAGGAAATATTAATTATATGACATTATTATATCCATTGTCAACTATGACCAGGAACCGCACACATGTGCATGAAATGCCTGTCCCCTATGAACATATGAACCACTTCAATTACTCTAAACCCTTATCATAATCATTTGATTTCTCATTTACATTCAGCCATTGAGCAAATCATCCCATAAAATACATTTTCTATCACAAGTGATGACATGCAAAAATAAATCATTTTTACTATTGATGTGAAATTATGAAACATTTTTCTTTGCCATTTATCAAAGGATTAAAATGATTTCAACCAATACATTGAAGTTTGCATTAAGTTCACCAGCTGAGGTTTTGGGGTCATTTTCAACCACAGCTTTCAAGCCTTCAGCATTGTCCTCACAGCCAAAATTTGTATTGCTTGTAGTTTCAAATTTATTATATATTGCAAGTATCAAGCACAAAGATTGCAAGTTAAAAGTCTTTCTATATTTGCCTAAAAATGTAAAAATAATTGATTAAAATTAAAGTCTATTTCTCACTGCTGGTAACATAGGTTCCCTGTGGCTTTTATGGCAGTTGATCTGATTAACTTTCCTCTATGGTACCTAGACTTTATGAATTTAAGCACAATACTAGATTGGCAGCAAATTCTTATCATTTTACATTTAAATGGCTAGATGTAATTGTAAGTTTTAAGCTAACAGTTTCTCCTCTTGCACTTCTCGCTTGTGGAATTCTATTCTGACTTCTTGCTTTCCAGGTGACTTTGATCTTTAAAAATTTAAATGTGATGTCAATCATTATCTTTTGTCTTCTTAATTCCTTTTATTGTTCTCTCTCATTAATAATGTTTTCTTTTTTCGTATTCTCTCACACTCAGTAAACCCTTGTGTCTTAGTAGCTTTATTGCCTTTCTTGGAGTGAAACAATTACAAAAGAAATAGCAATTAAAAAAGCATTAATTTTAGAAAATGGTTAAAATATCACTCTTAAAACAAAATTTTATGTGGTTCATAGTTATATGAAGCTTTTTAGATATGTTTTTACTAAAAATGCTGGATATTTATTAGAGATTAAAGCATTACATTTGCATAATAAGAACAAATATTTTCACTAGCAGAGTCAAGTAATACCATCTGGTAAATATATGGGTGATTCATAAGTTTAAAAAAAAACGAGAATGGAATTAATTTCAAACTTCAAACCAAGTAAAAGACTAGGCAAACATCTCTTGCAAAACTTGCATCCTCAGAAAATGTGAAGAATCAAAGATTTTCTGAGGAAAGTTGTTAGAAATAGATGGCTCCATCACAAAACGATAACAAAGTTGTCTGTAATTCTCAGAATTATTAATAGAACCAATTTGGTCAGAGAATACATTTTGACAATGTAAAAGTTCAAAAAAGAATAATTATTTTTAGAATTTACAATGTTGCTCTTCTATTTTTGTTTTCTCTCCATTTTCTATACTGAAAAAAAAAAAAGAAGGAAATCTTACCATCACTTTCTGACCATCGATGGTCTTGTTCTGCACCAATCATGTCAGCCAAATCATTCTTAATTGGATCAACAAAGGCTTTGTGAATATCTGACCATACAGGTTTATGTTTCCATCTCTTGCTCAACCTAATATCCTTGTCTTTATATTGTATGTCTTTAATTTTCTGATCTCTATTTCTGCTCCAATCTTTAAAAAAAATGTTATTGAAAATCAAATATTAAAATGTGTTTTTATCAAGTTCATAAGCATATATAATCTATTCTGATTTATGTAGGAGAAGACTCAAAACCATACTGGAAATATTATTTGACAGTCACCATTTGAAAGATGAATTGTCTCCTAACACTGTAGGGATACAAAAGACGATTATCTCTCTTTGGGTGAGATGAAGTCACATGGGTTACATGACTGTTGCTTAGTGGCGTCGGTTCATAGACTGACAAAAGTGGTCAGTCACCTTCCATGAGTCAAACCGTGCAGTTGTTTTTAGCATGGGCAAGACCTTAACTTACTTGGGCAAGCTGCCAAAGGATCAGCTCACAAGTCCATAGCAGCATTTTCTTTTGGGAATCGTCACCAGATATAGAAACTACTTCCAGTTCACAAATCTCATGTTAGGAAAAAACCATGACTTGCTATTTCCTGTTTGAGGAATATGTCCTTGCTAGTGACACAGAAAATGAATCAAGCCCACACAAATCTGTATTGGGAATCCTAAATATAGCTTCTCCAGAAACAGTGAAGTATCCTCCAGCAGCTCAAATTCCCTTTGGGAATTATTACAAGACCCTCTACCTCTTTGCCATTTTCTTACTGCTTGTGTGGTATACATGTGTTATAGTTTCTCTGTATGGGACACATGTAAATATATGTTTATAATTTTGTGTATGACTTAGCAGTATAAAACTCTCTGAGAACAAAGCATGTCTGTCATTCCTTTTTTTCAACTATTCCATTCTATCCATGTATTATAAAATGTTATATTATGGATATAATAATGCCCATAATGGGAGAAATGCAAACTGGGAGAATATTCTGCTTCACACATAATACTACTTATTAACAATATAGCAAAACCTGAACTTCTATTTAATGACCTCATATTTTACAAAGAGGAGTAGAATTAGATACGTAACAGAAGTTGGGGCAGATTTTATTTTGGAAATTCTCCAACCCCATCTCAATCAATTAATTTAAAAAAAAAAAAAAACCTTTATTAATTTCACACTTTTGACCACCAAAATCATTTTCTGACCCCCTTTTATTAAGACTCACTTATTTATTGCATATTGAGAAAAATTCTGACAGCACCAATTAAGACCATCTTTATATTAGGTACCTTAGATTACAACTAATGATTCTATAAGATATGACTATACTTCACTCATAAAATGATTATGTAGCTGTTCACATAATCCAAAAGTCATTACTACAACCAACTTTGATCACAGAAGAGTCTTCAACTAACCAATATTTTGGTTCAACAAGATATTTGGAATTTTGTCACATATTACTTTATTTTTCAGTATAGCAGAAGACAAGAAATAAACTTACCAACATCTAACCATCTCTGTTCTTGTTCTAGGCATTCCAGGTCAGCCACCCTGTTTTCATATGCATCAACAAAGACCTTCTGAATACTTGACCATGGATATTTCTCAGCCCATTCTTTGCGTGAATCTGTTTTATATTCTCCATCTGCAATTTCATGCTTTTTGTAGGTTCTTTTCTTGCTCAAACCTTAAAACACACCAATTAAATATTTCTACTTCAAATAGAAAATGGTAAGGATATTTTTAAAATTTTTGCAAAATATTCACCTACATTGAAAATAAAAGATTACTTTAAACAAGATTGATTCTATACAGCTGAATTTCCCTTGTTTGTTCAGTCAGTAATGAAATATATGGAAATTTTTATATGGTGAAATAAAAAAATTTTTATCTACAAATAACATTTTGTATAGTTATAGTCTTATAATATATAATAAAGAATTAATAAAAAATATCCAGAAAAAAATCCTTACTCTACTATTCAAGAATTTTATACTTGGCCAAAAATCAAGAGGAAACGAACAAAAAGAAATTTTAAAGACTAACAGTAAAATGATAAACACATTTTCACCCAATATTACGTATTCCCAGAATATGTACATTATAATAAAAACTTCTACTATTTAAAAATTCAGCAAACTTGGACCCTTGTGCTCACAAAAAAAGATGGTTTTTCCATTAATACCACTATTATTTTAACTACTGTCACTCACTCAGCAATGTTTATTGTTTTAAAAAGTGATGATTAGAATTGTAATAAAACCTAAACATGTGAAAGTGAATTTATACATTTTCTTTGTTCCTGAGAATTTACATAAAAAACAATAAATACTATTTATTTATTACATTATTTATTGGAATGGTTGGTAAAACACTGGCTAATTGCTAAATGATTCAAACTTTATAAAATGGTAAATAATAGGGATTTCCTTCTAGTTGGTTCATATATTTTAATAATTTAGTAAAAGTTTATAAATTTATGAATAAAAAATTGTTTTCCTATTTATTTCTTTATAAATTGGCAAACAATAAATATTGCATTGTATTAGTTTTTAGAATGTTGTAAATATTAAATTTTTCTTGTAAAAAACCTGTCAAAAACCTTTGAAATATCTAAAGTCATAGTCCAAGCCTTGCCACTCTCATCTAAAGCCTGATAGACAAATTTAGGGATAACAGTTAACATAACTGCAGTTGATCTAGAGAAACAAAAGCCATATTTTTTATCTGTAAAAAATGCCATGTGAAGTGAGATACTTAACCAATTCAGAGTTGATTAGAACCTCCAAAAAGAAGTAAAATGATAATTCAAGGGATCAGAAGGTTCACTAGAATTTTTAAAGACAGATACTACAGAAGAGGATTTCCAATAAGCTGGAAAGCAAGAAGCAGCAAGGCATTTATTGTAGAGTCTGGGGAAAATGAGCCAGTTCAGGAGCACATTTCTTTAGGACAACTGAAGGGATACTGTAAACCTTTTGGGGATATAATTTGGAGATGGAATTATGTTCATATCACTCAGTAGATTCTGTTCTGGGGGAAAATCAGGAAAATATACTCTTGATGAGTTGAGTGGAGTTGTAAGAGAATTTCTGAGCACAGCATTCTGCTTTATCAACAGTAGATGACAATACTTCAAACTGATTGAAGAGAGGAAGGATTGATTTAGTCTTGTTCAACACACTCTTACAGAGCAAACAGTACTCTCTAGGAACAAACTTGTGAGATGCTGTACAGTGTCTTGTTCTATCAACTGATAGTGGCTTTGCCTTGTTGAGGACACACTTACACTCATTATAAGCAGATACAAAGACGTTTCTGTTATGATTGGAATTACTCTGTTGCTATAACTGGAAGAAGTGATTCTAGTGCTGAGCAGCGTGAATCAAGGAGAATTGGTATTTCCATACTGGCACAAAAGCTTTAATGCCAGCTTTCACCCAGGAAGAACCCTTGGTGGGTACAATTTTCAACAGGAAGATTAAAAATTTAATTCCAGTGTGCATCACAAAGAAAATCACAAAATGAGTCCCAATCAATTCATTGGTAACAAAAAGATGTCCTGCTAAAAGAAGGTGCTTGCCTAATAGACAAACTGAAAGAAATATCTACAGACACTACTGCATGATTAGAATTGCCAAGACAGAGTTGCAAAACATGACATGAGGTAAGAAACAGAGCAAGTAAAGAAGCATATCTGTCAGAATTACTAAGGAGACAGATTGTTATTAAGATGTTATTTTCATTGTTAATGGTATTAGAATGATGAAGTCACTTGACATGATGAACATTATAATTACCAAAACACAAAAATATTCACAAACAAATGTAGAGAGAGGGCCTTACCTATACTGTCACATATTCTCTTTAGCAAACAATAATACTGAGAAAAAGAGGAATAATAAAGGAAGAAGTGATAACTACCGAGTTTAATAGTGGAAATCAGAAAAATAATCTGGAGACGTAAAAAACTATTCCCTCACCACTGGGAGAACTGCACAAAAATAGACACCAAGGTTATGCATGTGGACATTAGAATCCTTTTGATAGAAAGGAAGATAGCCAGGAACAGAGAATCCATCTTAATGATTTTAGTAAACTACTCCAAAGAATATAAACTGACAAATTTTAATAAAATAAATATTTGGAATTTTATTAAGATCCTAGTTTGTTAATCTTTATTATAATGTAGAGAGAGACCTGACAGTCACTTATTATAGGTGGCAATGGAGACAGAAGTTGATTGATGCTATAACTAAGGTACATAAGTCAGTTATAGGGAAGTGGTTTACTCAGGTCCTCATTAATTCTGTCAACCAATAAGGGGACATAATGACTATCAACAAAAAAAAAAAAATAGAATCAGCAAAACTTGGGATTCTGGCTGAGGCTGTGCACACTCAGCAAAAACGACCTTGTAAAAGGCATGAATCCACTTCTCCTTATGCATTGTCCCACTAAATTATGCATAACATTACCTAAGTTTTTTTTTTTAATATTCTGATTAAAGTTAGATATAAGTATTGTATATTTTAAAATATTAAGTTGCTCAAAAGGATAATGCTATAAAAATGTTTTAAATCAGTTGTATCTCAAATATAAAATAAAATAATCCTTAAAGCAATTTTGAGAGTGTTATTTAAAAAAAAAATCAAATACAAAGTAAAAATTTATTTGTATTAATAGGATAATTTTCAAATAAGATATGTGGGTGGTCTAACAGATAGCAGCTTGGAATTAGAAATCAGAGAGCTAAGTTAAAATTCCAGTTGAGTTCATTACATTCTTTTAGGCACCAATACCTCCGGAAAAGGTATAATCCATCTCCTTTACCTAGCTATAGGTTAACTATTTGGGCTTTTATCTCAAAAAATCATTGTTATTCTCAAAAATTTGTTAATGCAATATTCACTTGCAAAAAAAAAAAAAAATAAAAAATAAAAAAAAAGCATTATTCTTACAGTCCAAAATATGTTTCAGCTTTAAATAACCCATAAATAGTTGATAAACCATAAAAAACAAATCAATCAACATTTCTAATAGATAATAGATGTGATCAGTTTTTACTAGTTTTATCTTTCAACTTATTTTTTTTTCTTATTACAACACTCGTAGATTTTATATTCTTTACAACTGTTAGGTAAATAGCATGGATCAGAAATAAACTAATGATTTCCAACAATAAAAAGCAACAAAATAACATGTAAGAGAAATAATAAAAAATTAATAATGAAATTCAGACAACTTCAGACAAAAGTTAATCTTCATTTGAGTTCAGACTGAAAGGACAGAAAATTAACTTTATAAAGGAATTTATAAGATATTAGTTTGAAATTTTTTTATGAGTATGAAAGTAACATCTACATAAAATAATTCCATACTTGATATTAATTCATCAATTTCAAGCAAATGAATAAACAGGAACAACACCCAAAACTAAAAACAACATACGACTTTTTGAAAATTTCTGTCGTCTGTCTTCTGCAGGTACTTGGTTTTTAAAATCTCCATACAAGGCAGCATTTATCCAGGAAGAGGTTTGATTTTCAAATGGTACTTCACTCTTTTTACCAGGATATTCTTTTGCTTGAGAATCCACTTTCTGATCTGATCCTTCAAAAATATATAATATATATTTAATAACCCACCAAAAATTAAATATCTCAAAATTTACAATTGGTATGGAAGCCAAAGTATACGAAAAGTAACAACAAATCATTTTCTAATAATGGTACTTACTAACTCTTGCATAAAAACATGAAATAAATATTTTTTTATTATGTCAATTTCAATATTATTAAAAAGTAAAGAATAAAAAAAATATTTCTTGACCCTCTTCAACTTACTTATTAAATAAAAGAAAATAAAAAAGCAAATATAAAAAAATATTTGACAAACAAAAGCCGTAGTTGATTTTGTCATTAAATATTGAGTACTTATAAAAACATTTTTTGGTAATTGGTCTTAAATTGACTAACGAACAAAGTCTTTTAAGGGAGATAAATTATTTTACTTTGTGGAATTATTTCCCTTGAACAGATCATTTTTATCCTAAGGTCTGACACAGACCAAAAATACATAAACGAAATATTATTTTTAAAAGACTAAAGATAAAGCTTATATAATCAGAAAAATATACAGAATAATGAAAAGACAAAGAATAAATGAAGTCACTGTAAAATCTTGTTTTTCAACTCAAAATCTATATGTTGATATAGTTAAAAAAATTTAACAATGATAATTTATTCTTTATCTGCTATTTAATGTCTCTCCCCACCGCCACTGGTCTCTCAAATAACTAAATACAAAAAATTCAAATAGTTGTTAAATTATTTATATTATTGAACTTGATTACTTAAATCTTTCTATGATATTTACTATTATTCTGTTTGTTTATGACTTTTATATGTTTTTTAGCGAAGTGTAGTATATGCTTGATTCCTGGGCCTTCTGAGCTAGAATTGATTATGCTTTCTGTGAGAAATCCACATAATTAAATGGGAAGAATTTGAAAGAGTGTGTGGGAAGAGGATGTGAAGAAAGTAATGTGGGAGGTAAGAAAGCTAGAGAAAACTAAAACAAAACCTGGTGAAAGGAAAAACTAAATATACACAGAGAGGAGGGAAGCGATGAAAATGAAAGAAAGACCAAAAAACAGGCTTGCTGGCTGGATAGGAAGCGACAATGAGCAAAAGGTTGAAAACCAGATAGGTATGGGAAAACAAAAATTGCAATATATTAAAATTCCTAATGAAGTGAAAGAGCAAAAAAGAGATAAAAGGAAGGATGCAAGAGAACATATTTGTGCATTCCTTATTCCTTTTGGGCATGTAAAACTAATTCATGTTTGTATAACAATTAGCTAAAAACATAGGCAAGCAACAAAGATCAGAAAGGATAGGGGAGAAAATAAGATACAAGCAACTTTCTACCCAATGTGACATGGCTTCCCTCGGTCTTTTCTACAAATATTTTCATAGCAACTGCTCTAATGATCTTTTTTCCCCGGTGCCCCAACTACATGAATTTAAGGATGCTACTAGATTGGCAACTAGGTCCCACTATCTTACTGTTGAAATAGCAACTGCCACTAACAATTCCCTTTCTCACACTTCTCACCTTTGAAACACACTTACAATTTCTTGCTTCACTGATAATTACTATCTTCAAAAATTTAAATGCAACATCAATCCCCATCTTGTTTTCTTGAACCCTGTTCCTTTTTTGTTCTTTCCTCAATTGTCTCCATTCTCAGTCTTTCCATTTTCTTTCATTTTCCTCTCCCTGTAACCTCCTGTATTCTAGTGGTATTATTGCCTTACTTGGCGTGAAATGATTAAAAAAAAATAACTATGAAAGTAACATCTTAATAACAAATTCCATACTTAACATTAATTCATCAATTTCAAACAAATAAATAAACAGGATCAACACCAAAAACTAAAAACAACATACGACTATAATATTTTTCATAATTGAAAGAACAATCAACTCATTGAAATGTTTTTTTTCTTATTTTCACTGTTTTACTGAGAAATCTTCCAGACATTTAAAGAAGTTTAATTTAGAACACTATCTCTAAAATGTAACAACAGAACCTTTTAAGACAATAGGACACACAGCATATGAAGTAAATATTTTTTTACTAAATGTTAACCCAATACAAGGCCCTAGAACCATTCAAGGTAGAGAGTTACAGAGTTTGGTTATTGCATAGTTAGATGTAAGAGGAGGAAATAAGTGCAGATTATGAGGATGTGTAGGATAAATAACTTTTGACTCTAGATTTGAAAAGGTTAAGATTAAAGTGATAAAAGAAACACCTTCTTGGGTGTCTGTTCTACAAAGTAGCAGAGTTCTTGGGAAGAAGCTGTCTGAGTGGAATACAAAAGGAATTAGGATGATTCAATCTTGTCTATATGTGACATGACGTGTCCTAGATGTAATGGTTTGAACTAGTGGAACTAAGGAATGTAGCTTGCTGGAACATTTGCTATGGAAATATCGATAGAGTAGCAAGGAGCTTGAGATATTTCGTCTGTGGGAAAGGGACTGTAAGATTGAAAATAATTCACCACCTACAAGGTCATGTAAATATTTTTTAACTCTGTCAAGACACAAAAGTGAGAATTATGCAACTCCAGCCCAGATATAGCAGTATTACTCCATTTTTGGTCTGATCTGACTCTTGTAAAGATAGAGAAGGTTAGGAGGAGCCAGGTATTCCTAGAGAGGCACAAGCAACTGAACATTTTTTCAGCATCTTTATTGTATATATATGAGTTCCACTTGACATTTGGCATGCTTACAAGAAAATATCTGGAAAGAGTAGCTGTGAATTGGTGATTGAATTATATTCCTTTTTTAAATGCCATGACCCTTCAGTATGTAGACAATCATAGCTTGTCACAGATTCCTTTCTTTTATTATCTGGGAATTACCATTTCTTTGGGAAGATAGTTTTCTGTTGCTTTCTCCATGATTTTGAATTCAGATTAGTCTTTCTCTTTGACTGCCTGCCACACAAGATTTGAGAACACATTCTACTCTGTTATTTAACCAATAGTAGGGAGGAAGAGAAGAAATGCATTTATATCTTTCCCAAGGGCATTTGTGCAAAAATGAATGCAGATTAGTCCCTAATTTGAACATGCTGATACTTGTTATACTGCTTGCACATCCAATTAATGTCTCAGTTCGTTTTAATATTTAAACACAACACAGTTATTTAGACAATTTATATTCAAACGATTGTCTTCATCTTTGTTGTTGTTATCATAATGTTTCAGCCATTATGCCCTCTGGCCTTAATCAGTTATACATCAATCCAGGTAACCCACTGGGAATTCCGAACTGAACCCTTTATTTAATCTACAAGGTTAGATATACACCTGATGAAAACCAGAGGGTACAATGGCTGAAACGTTGTGATAGCAACAACAAAAATGAGGACAATAGTCTGAATGTAAATAGTGTAATTAATTATAATTCCTGATGCCAGAAATTCCAATAAGTGCAGAGAAAATGTAGAAACAAACAAGTTTTGTGTTTGAAAACAGGCAGCTTCCCTGGAACAAAGTGAATATTTCCATATTAGAAAATATCAAAAAATAAAATGTAGACATGCATGTTCATTGGAATATATATAAAAAAAAACAATGTATAGAGAGATATGAAAGCCTGTTTTCCAAATCTGAAGTAGGTTCATTCACTGGCCGATGTTGTTACTTAAATTGGAAGGAGAATAAAAATGCCTGCAGAAGAAGCTGATTATTTCATCATTGATAATAGAAATGTTGTCTTGATCAAACCAATAGAGGATCAATATCTTCTGTTCAAGAAAAAACAAATTGAGTCTTACTGATTTTTTTTTCTATTCTTTTGCTACTTTTTCATATTTTTGTTTATTTGACTTTAACTCGACAAACAACTGTACCTAACACCCTCATTGTTTATAAGTACAGTGGTAGAAACAATGAAAAACAAATCAAATTATTTAATTAAATCTTCAAGTTAAACCTTTTACAAAGTTTTCTTTTGTTTGAATATTCAAATGTTTGCATGTAAACCTTCTGGCAGGGAATACAAAACCTGCAGGGCTGGATTTAGGCCTTAATAGGCCTCTGGGCTAATAGAATTTGGGGATCCCTTCATTGCATATCAAACCTACTTAATGACTCTATATCAGGCCATGTTATGAATTCCCCCTTTACAAGGAATTGTGGAGTTAGCTTAGCAGTTAACAACACAAAAAAATAAAACTGGCAAATGAATTTCAAATTCTAGCTGAGGTAGTTTCTATCCACTTTACTCTTAGAAAAGGCATGAATTCATCTTTCTTATCAGGTCAGATCGGGGATTATTTCTCAGCATGTTCAAGTAGGCTATGATTTGATTATATGAAAGGAGTTCTTAACCTGAACCATGTCACAAGATTTGATCAAATAGCTAAACATCAGTATTTGGGAAGGGGAAGGCTTCTTTGTCAGGTCAAAAACTGTTCAGTACACATTATATATATATATATATATATATATATATATATATATATATATATATAGTAAAAGTAGGATTTTAAGATCTAGGCTGCTTGGTATAAATTTACAATTCAAAATGACCACCCTTTGCTTTCACCATAGCCCTTAATCTCTTCTCAACTGATGTGCATGATTTCTTCACCATCCCTTGTGACACAAATTGTTGGTTGGTTCATTTTCTAACTGCACCAAAATCTCATAAGTGCTTCTTTTAAGTCTGACACACTTGTGTATGAGATATTGCTCTCCAATATGAGACATATCACAAAGTCCATAAAAATAATGTCAGAGTTTGATGGAGGCCAAATTGACTTGTCAAAAAATCCCTGAAAATGTCTTTTTCACTAGTTCTGTGTCAAATTGTCTGTGTGAAGACATAGCAACTTCAAAATGTGGCTGACAACCAGAGTAATACATCTCACTCCAACATTTTCTGGTAAACTGCCATTCATTTTGACTCCTTCCATGAACACCAAAGGGTGATTTTGAACCATCAGAAGTAACAGCAGCCCAAACCATGACACCAGTTGTTTTCTGTCTCTTGAAATTTGTTCTAACATCTTCAGGAATGTTTTCTGATGAAGTGGTATAAACCCTATTGTTTTGGTAGTTGATGAAACAGCCTCTACAGTGAAAACCTTTTTATCCAATCAAATGAGGATTTTTTCTGCAGTACGCTGCATCTCCTCCAACATTTTCTTCCTCTGCCAAGCCATTTTTGCTTGGAGACACTAAAGAGCAGCTGTCATTGTTGAATCTTGTATGGTTTTAGCCCTAAATCCTCTTTCACAATCCTTCTTAGCAAGAGATCTGAAATATCTAATTCTTTTGTCATCCTACTTCTGCTTCTTCATTGATTTTTCTTCACTCTCTTCTTGACAACTTCAATGACTTTCCTTGTACAAACTCAATGGTTTCTTCCTGGAACTGGATTTGGTGAGGTTGCTTGCTTCTCTTGAAACTTTCCACACATTTAAAACAGTTTTTCTACAAATATTCAACTGTTTTATCACCTCACAATTCTTCATACCAGCCATTTTCAATGTGACAATTTGATCATGTTTTGTTTTGTTTGAGTGGCCATATTTAATTAAACTGTAAACAATAAAACAAAAGAATGTCAGGAAGCCTTATGCAAATTTTGAAATTATTTTTATGAACCGGTATGTTTCAGTTTAAATAATGGATAAATATGTATGTTTCACACTTGCTATATAGGAATGATAATATTTGAGTACTGATAATTCAATTTCACTATGTCTCTTCCATTGTGAGTGACTGATCTTCCTGTTTTATCTTGTTTATCTTGTTTATGAGATCCTGCTAATAACAATGGAAATCCTGTTTCTAGTAGGATTTATATCAATAGTGGAGAGAGATTTTCCCCTCAACAAATGTTCAATTTCCTCCTTTTTTGTAATATTTTGCAATTTATAATGCAAACATATATGAAATTGAGAATAGCATTAAATTTATTATTTTTTTTGTGAGTGAATATGCAAGTATGTACCATGGAATGTGTAATTCTGAACAGACTGGAGAGTTGTTAAAAGATGGGTCAAAATATGATTTAAGATTAACATGACCATAATGATATTATAAAAGAATATTCACATGTGTTGACTTATTGGATTTTGTTGATATACAAATCTACATTTCTGTACCTAATAGAACTGTGTGTAGGTGTGGGGATTTTTTCAAACCCATTGAGCCTGTTAAATCACTCTCATTTATTGATTTTACACTTCACAAACAGGAAACAGTAATTATTCTTGTAGTTGCTTCAAGTTTTTCCTTGCAATTCTTTTATGAAGTGTGTATTGTTTAGAAAATTGTGTTCTTGTTGACAAGTGCAAAGACATTCACCCAATTTCAAAAGAAATTATATTACAATTTTTGAAGTGTTAAGAAGTGAATAGAAAAGACCTTGAAATCTAATACTGGTTAAGTGTAAAGTGGATATGATGAAGAAGACATCCTAAATGTTTTTGACAATCTGCTTGAATAAGTTGCATAAACAAGTTGCTTTATTCCCAGGATTTTTGCACTTTCTGATAAGATGTTGGTGTATGAATGCACTTTCAATTTTATATGAGTTATGCAAGTAGATACTTAATTTATGCTGGCTTTTTTCACATACTAATTGAGATGTGGCAGGGCTTCTTCACATGTTCTTTATCTTAGAAAGTGCAAGAAGTTCTGGAGATGAGGTTGGATGTTACAGTAGTGGTACTGAAAGAATTTTTTTTAAGTTCTAAATTTTTGACACTTTAAATGATTTTCCACCTCCACTTCTTTTAAGATCATCTCCCTGTTTATTGCATACTGATAAAAACTCCATATCCCCACCAATTATTAAAATCTCCTCTTGTATTAGGCACCTAAGAGGCACCAGTGGGTTACTGAATGACAAAATGAAAAACACTCCTATATTTACACATAAACCTTGAAAGGACTTCTTCAAGCTAGTAATGGTTTTATCAATAAAATCTTATATATATATATATATATATATATATATACGAGATGAATGACAAAAAGTGTCAACAAATATTCCTGTTGCTATGTTCCCAGACCAGATCCTTACTGTTGTAATATGTGAACTTGCATGCAGGTTACTAGTGTGATTGAAGCATTACATATAAACATAAAACTAAATGAAGTTGTCAAAATCAATGGAAGAGACTACCATATATATATATATATATATATATTAGTGGGAGAAAGAATACCATTAATGCCTGTCACAATTTTATATTGAGAAATATTGAATATACAGGAACATTTATCTTTGAATTCTGATTTTGTTGTGTTGTTAAACTGGGATGTTTGGTAAAAAAAAATAGAATTTGTTATTTGCTTCATACCTGAATATATATCCTGATATTTTGTGAAGGATACATTATCAGGAGCAGCATCCCCAAGGAAAAAAGCATTAGCAGCAGCTCCAGGAAGAAGAGCAGCAGCAGCAGCTGGAGGAATAGCAGGAGCTCCAGTAAGAAATGCAGTATCAGTTGGAGGAATACCAGTGGGTACATTTCCAGTAAGAAGAGCAGCAGAAGCTGGAGGGAGAGTAGTAGTAGTACTTTGAATAAGAGTAGTAGCAGTAGCATCATCTTTTGGAAGAAAACTAGTAGCAGCTGCAGCAGCAGCAGCTGCAGCAGCAGCAGTTCTTGGAAGAAGTGTAATATCAGTAGCATCAGCTCTTGGAAGAAGTGTAGCAGTAGAAGCAGCATTTCTTGGAAGAAGTGTAGTAGCAGTGGAAGATCTTGAAAGAGTAGTGGTAGCAACACTAGCAGCTCTTGGACGAGAAGTGAGAGCAGCAGAGGGAACTCTTGGAAGAGGAGTGGTAGCAGCAACACCAGCTCTTGGAAGAGAAGTGGGAGCAGCATCACCAGCTCTTGGAAGAGAAGTGGGAGCAGCATCACCAGCTCTTGGAAGAGAAGTGGGAGCAGCAACACCAGCTCTTGGAAGAGAAGTGGGAGCAGCAACACCAGCTCTTGGAAGAGAAGTGGGAGCAGCAGCAGCAGCAGCAGCAGCAGCTCTTGGATGAGAAGTGGTAGCAGCACCAGCTCTTGGATGAGAAGTGGTAGCAGCACCAGCTCTTGGATGAGAAGTGGTAGCAGCACCAGCTCTTGGATGAGAAGTGGTAGCAGCACCAGCTCTTGGATGAGACATAGCAGCAGTAGTAGCAGAAGCAGCACTTGGAAGAGAGGTGGTAGCAGAAGCACCTCTTGAAAGAGGAGTGGTATCAGCAGCAACACTTGGAAGTTGAGTGGTATCAGCAGCAGCCCATGGAGGTTGAGTGGTATCAGCAGCAAATCTTGGAAGTTGAGCGGTATCAGCAGCAACTCTTGGAAGTTGAGTGGTATCAGCAGCAGCCCATGGAAGTTGAGTGGTATCAGCAGCAGCCCATGGAAGAGTAGTAATGGTAGTAGCAGCAGTAGTAGCTGGAGGAATATAAGTAGCAGCAGCAGTAACTGGAGGTATTGCAGTTACAGGAGCAACAGGTGGAAGAGTAGCAGGAGTTGGGGGAACTACAGCAGCTGTAGGGATGGCATCAGCAACAGCTGGAAGCAGAGTATCAGCTGGAGGGATTGCAGTAACAGCAGTTGCCTCTTCCTATCAAAATTTGAATATTATCCACATATATAAAATCAAATGTATATCCATATCTACCTATCTGTGTGTGCGTGTGTGTGTGTAATGTGTGACACTTCTTTTCTATGTCACCAGAAGAATCCCTTACATGATGTGCAAATTGCCCATCTCTGTGTAGTGGACACTTCTGATGTCATAATAAAAATAGAAAACATAATTTATTCATATTTTGAATTAATTTTAGTTCTTAGATAAAAAGATTGTAATTTTCAATTTCATTGTACTTATAAAATATCAAAGCTTTAAATATTGTCATCATTTTTTATTGGCAAATGTAAACTAATAACAAATAAACAGTAACATTAGCTACTATTATATACCCAGCCTAGTATATTACATTCAATTTGGCACTAATGTCCTTGGGAAAAACTTGAATACATTTTCTTCATCCTCCAAAATTTTCAAAAACATTTGTGTTCAAATAGAAGGAAATGGGCCAACTTTTTGTAAATTGAGATGGAGCCAGACCAAAACGTGCCCAGACTTGCCTGAGGCCCAAAAAATCACTAAAGATGACAACATATTCCAAATGATCAATATTCATCAACAAGTCTTCATCAAAATGATTCAAATGATGAAATCCATGGTTCTACGTACACAATATTGAGTCTACACATTAATTTCTTAAACAATAGGGTATTTTGGAGCAGAAATATACCAAGGGGACAAAATTGACTATTTTGAATTGAAATCACCGAATACTTCAACATTACATTCTATCAAAACACACTATCAGGCAAAAGTGTCCATATTTGAACATCTCAGGCCATTATAAAGAGCAGGAAGAATGGTCAGAAGGGTTTTTGGTGACTCCAACTCATACATGCTTAAAAATGGCATTGTGACTTTGAAAGTAAACCATGCCACGCATCTTAAAACACATACAATATATTCCACTTCAAGGTACAACTCACATGCCTGTACCAGTTGATTATTTGATGGTGTATCTGAAACAGTAGTCCTTAGATCATTAAAATGGTGAAGCAAGGCAGCAGCACTATATCCAAGGAGACCAAAATGTCTTTCTTTATATAATGCAACCTTTTTTTTATCAGCTTTATTCAATACATCATCAAATTCCTCATAGATTGATGTTTTATGACCATCATTCGATATGAGTTTACAAAATGCATCAATTACAGCAGGGATTAAACCTTTAGCCAGGAATGATTTCAAAGATGTCATTGTTTTGATTATTTTTTCCTTTAGTTCAAATTTATGCTTCAAAACAGATAGGCTTCTCTGTATCAAACACCTTACAAGTGTGACTCATGCAAAGAAGATTTAGGGGTATGTGCTGTGACAGGAGAGTTGCAGCTACCAAGTTTTCAATCTCCAAATTCTTGGAAACTGAATCTGTCATGAGGGTTGTTATTTTATCCAAAATCAATCTATTTTTGTTTAAAACATCAAAAATATTTTCCTAATTTCTATGTAAGCTTTGTTGAAACAACATATAACCATATATTCAATCATTTGAATAAAAATCAGCAAGGTTTGTGGCTCATTTTTAAAGTTTTGTGGAATACATTGTCGTTTTTAGTGATTTTTTGGGCCCTGGGCATGTTTCAGTCCGGCTCCATCCCAATTTTCAATAGTTGGCCCATTTCCTTCTATTTGGACACAAATGTATGGAATAAAGCACTTCACCACATTTTTTGTAAAATTTAGTCTCTATAGCCACACCTCTATTAGTAAGATTAATTAATGAAGACTTTTTATTACTTAGGATTATTAAGATTCATGTGCTTTTTTTTACAATGCAGATACTTTAATTGGTTGAAGCAATGTTTATTATAGATTATAAAATTCACTTATTTGTATAATTCATTCAAAATGATAGAAATAGTCAAAGAGATTTTAAATATGTGATTTTGTTTATATTAAATGGTTTTGTTTAAATTTTTGAAAACTGGGTGGAAGGAATGCAAGAAATCAGAAAGGAGTTACACAGTCGAGCAGTGTGGGAAACTATTAGAATATAACATGGTTGCATCTAGCTAGGTCAACAGTAAAACGGTGAGACCTAATTGCCAATCTAGTAGCCCATTTAAATTCATGCAGTCAAGGCACCAAGGAGTAAAGCTCATCAGAAGAATTGCCATGAAAATATTTGTAGAAAAGACAGAGAGAAGCCACATCATATCAGTGAGAAAGTGACTGAAGTCGAGATGCCAGGCCAGGATTAATTAGATTACAACACTTCTTTGAATTTTGTCAAGAATCTCAAGTAGGAGCACTAGACCAGATATGGCAGCAATATTTAATGCACAGACTAATGGTAGATTTATAAATGTGCAAAATAGATTCTGACAAGAAAAATTGTCTAGCATGACACAGTGAATCAATTTTCCTAGCAGTATACCTAGCAACTGATTCAATCCACTTCAGAAAACACTATTCATGAGTTGAGAGTAGAGTTGGAAGAGAATTACCAGGCAAAGTATTCTGCCTTATTTGCAGTAAATGACAATACTTCAAGTTGATTGAGGAGAGGAGGGATGGAGGATTTGCTTTTGTTCAGTACACTTTTACAGAGCCACTAGTAATCTCTAGAACCAAACTTGCAAGAAGCTATACAGTGTCTCATTCTATCAGTAAATAGAAACTTTGCCTGTTTGAGGACATGCTTACACTCATTACAAGTGGTTAGAATGAGGTGTCTGTTATAATTGGATTTGTTGTATTGGTATAGCCAGAAGTTATTCCTGTGGGCTATAGCAGTTGAACAGGCAGGCGAGAACCAAGGAAAAGATTGTAGTTTCATTTACTATTTCTCTGCTGGCACAAAAGCTTCAATGCTAGCTTTCACCTGGGAAGAGACCTAAGTGGCACATTTCTCAACAGGATGATTAAAAATATCATTCCATGAAGCATTACAAAGAAAATTACAAAATGTGTTCCAATTAGTGCATTGATAACAGAAAGATATTCTGTTAATCGTGGATTCTTGCTTAATAGATGAGTGCATGGTTGGAGTTGCCAAGAGGACAGAGCTGCAGAGCGTGACATGAGCCAGAGGAGGAAGTAAGGAAGAGATCAAATAGAGAAGTGTGTGTCAGAATTATGAGGGAAACATGTGGGTCTACTATTTCTACTATTTCTAAAGTCTACTATTTCTATTAGAGATTGAGCAATTGAGAAGTTCAAAGTGTGGATGCCAATGAGATCAGAAGCATTAGAGTGATGAAGCAACTTGATATGATGGGCCTGAAGTTTGCCAAACACAAAGATATTTGCAGATTAATGTAGAAAAAGAGGCTTCTCTATACTATCAGAAATTCTATCTGGCAAGGAACAATCATGAGAGGAAGGGGGACAATAAAAGAAGAAGAAAATAGGAGTAGTTAGGTTTACCTATCACCTGGTTCACACTCATTCCTCATCTACTGAACAGAAATAGAGGTTTATCCCTTGTTTCCTGTTTAGGATTGAGTTTCCTGTTCCTTCTAAAGTCTTCTCATTCTTTTTCACTCCCAGTAACCCTTTGCATCTTAGTGGTATTATTGTTTTGCTTGGGGTGAAATGATTACAAAATATTATACAGACCAGACCTTTCAATTAAATTATTGGTAAACTACACATTATCTCCAACTGAATGCTTTCATTACTTAATTGACTCTCCTAATGTATTAATAAATATGAAATGATCACATGATTAACCTTTTACTATGCATATCATAATCTATACATATATAAAGGGCAGGTGACTGTATGTGTGTGTGTGTGTGTCCATGTGTCCAGCTAAAACTAAAAAACTACAATAATAAATGGCAAAATAAATATATATACAGACTCAGTTTCACCCAGCCTACCTTTTGGTAAAAAAATTATCATCGTATGATTTGTATTTATTTTATAATTAAAAATACGTAATAATTGCATTAGAATGTATTAAAAATTCTCAGAATTAAAAAGTAAAAATGAATGGGAATAATTCTTATTCCCATTTTTTTTTGCTTTTTAATTCTGCTGATAATTTCAAAACACTATATTTATTTTCAAAATTTCTATTCTCTTGAATTTATTTCCATATCTATAGTAAATAAAAGTGTAACTTTAAAAAACGAATATTAAAACAACAAAGTAAATTTAAAAAAGAAGACTATTTGAAACAAAAATTGTACAAACACAATTGAATAAATTCTCGTAGATATTTTAAGGGGAATTTTCAGTAGCTTTAATAGAATCAGATATTCCATGAACATATATGTCAACTTTTTCGATATTTTTAATTGGGAAATTTTTAATTACCTATTTTTAATAACAGGTTTACTTTAAATACACACATTTTGTTTTTATGTTCATGTTGTAGAGATACTATTATCTGCCTATACATATATAAGGAGAAGTTGTCTGTATGTGTGTGTATATGTGTATATTATTAACTTAATATTTTTTGGCCATCATATGGAAAATAATTTTTTTTATTCAATCTTTAAAAAATAAACTTCACAGTTTTTTTTTGTTGGTAACTAACATAAAAAGTAAATAATTTTAAATTAAGTTTTATTAAAACAAAATCTATAGTGAATCTTAATTTTTTGAAAATTAATTTAAATAAACAATAGTTAAATTCACAAAACAAATATTCAACATGAATAAAGATGACTGTGACTCATATCTGTCTCACCTAATTTTTTATTTAACTAAAGTTTTTTCTTTTCAAATATAAATATAACTTGATATTTAAACATAATTGATTTTCAAAACTAAATGCTCAATGTATACTACTCTCTTTCTACTCTCCTTTCAAATAGTAATTAAATTAATTTACAGAGAAATGTTTGCTTCTTTCATTAATAATGTAATGTTTAAAAGTAAAACTTTATTTACTTAAAAATATCTAAATTCACTGCCAAAATAACTAGTAAATAATTATTTTTCAAAGAATTAAGGCTTGTTGTAGTTTTTGCTTGAAAAAATGATTAAATGAAATATGTTTAAATATATCTTAATTTAAATTTATTTACTTTTTTATTAATAATAATTTGAAAAAAGGTTAATGAACATAGATAAATTGATTATTATTCAAAATTGATTTGTTTAAAAATATTAAAGTATTTATGCTAGTATTTAATTAAAAAAATAAAGCCTTTTTGATTAAAAATATGGGGATGATCAACAAAAACAATGAAGTTTTTTTAAAGATTGAATAAAAAATTATTTTCCATAAGATAGCTGAAAAATATCAATAAATTGTCAATAATAATTCAGAGATCTTCTGAGCAGTATCCCTGCTAGTACACAATATAAGATAATCTTAAGATTATCCAAAAGAAAATTCTTTAGTTTTGACCATCTTATAACATTTTTTCTAGTACTGATTGAATTAAACATCTTTTGAGTTTTGTACATAAAATTAATCAGGCACCTAGTTTATGCAATATCAAAATGAAAGCAGAATATAAATGAAAGATAAAGACATATACAGGCTGATATAACAGAATATAATGAACAGATAGATATAATGGAATAGAATGAATAGACAGAAATGACAGAATGGATGAACAGAAACAAGAGAATGAAATAGAGGGTCAGATAGGATAGAATAGAATGGCCAGACAGATACAAACAAATATAACAGAAATGAATTGCTAGAAATATGACAGAATAAAACAAATATCTGATATGGCAAAATGGGATAGATAAATAAATATGACAGGACAGAATGGAATAGACAGACAGAAATATATATTAGAATAGAATGACTATAGACAGACAGAGAGTACTAACTTACCGGCAAAGAAACTGCTTGCATGTGTTCCATCTTTGCTAGTAACAGGGCTTGAAATTGCGTATTAGGAATAGTATTTTCCTTGTCTAACAGTGATTTTGTGTGTTGTAATGTCATTGTTGACTTCTTTGGCAGTTTGTCTATTGCATTTAATTGTTTGGCAAGACTGCCAAACTTTCTGGTACCTGAAAAACCAAATAATCAAACTATAAAGTCACAATTCTTTCAGAGGACATCTATCAGCTTGTAAAAGCATTCAATAGATAAAATTCATATAAAACAGAATAAAACATCTCAGAATACATTACTAGCTTTGTTTAAAAAAATTGATGGAAAAATGTTGTTGTTGTTTTGACTACAGAGAGAAATCTTTTTATTTTTTTTTGAAAGAAATTTAGAAATCAGTTTAAAATGTAATATTTCAGATACTATATTGTTGAGTTTTGTAAATCAGATATTTTCTCTTTGCCAGCCTTAATGACTGCATGATCACTTCTTTCTAAAGAACTAAATATTTTTAGTGCTTAGTAAACTTGTAAGGACATTATGTCTAATTTGACAAAGTCAAATTTTATTGAATAGAACACGCATGCAAATCATAATATTTTTGCAAACACCACAACTTATAAACAGCAGCAGTCCATAGAAACAGAAACCTCTCACAGAGACCACCTACACACAGACAGTAATTGCAGATGCACCAACAGCTACAGTCTAGACAGACAGTGGCTAGAAGACAGCAGTAACATCCCATCAAGACAGCAGTCAGAAACAGACAGAAGTCAAAGACAATGTAGGTCAGAGATTGAACACATGCTGCTCAATGAAGAACTTTTGATATACATAGTAAGTTACTTATAAACTGTACACAAAGTAATTTCTAAATAGTAAATAAACACATTCTACACTAAAAAAGGAAAAGAAAACATTTCCTTTCTTGTACCATCAACTAAATTGTTTTATAAAATGTTATATTTACTGTAAAGTATATGTGCTTATTATTATTATTTATTTATTGCTGTTGGTATTACTGTAGTGAGTGCAAAATAATAATAACTCCCTTCAGCCACTAACTTCAAATTCGGAGAACTGAAGAAAAAAAAAAGGAATTTGTGAGCATATGTGAAATCTTCTTTAGACCAATGAAAACCTTGCCTTCACAGAAATTGATCAGTGATCTGAGAAAATAGGAAAGGAATTTGCATACCTATATGAAATTGTTTTTAGACCAATGAAAGAAAACCTTACTTTCATAGAAATTAACTGATCAGCCAAGAAGAAAAAAAGAGTAGCAAGCCTAAAGGGTTTTGTTTCAGTTCCCCACAATCAGCATTGAAGTCTGTGTAAAATTATTTATCAGTTATATTATTAGCCTCTAACCAAACATGCAGCACTTCAAAAAATTTTCTCTCAACAATACAAGAAAGCTAAGTATTTCCAACTATCTCTACTTTTAAATGTATGAAGTCATATATCTCTTCAGAGAGCAATGAACTCACTTACTTTTGTCTGAAACATTTTTTAATATTATTTTATGTCAAATAATTTTATCTGTTGTATGAACATTCCTCTGCATGACAATATATTAAAACTATGGACTTTAAGAATTCTGATTTATTTTCCTTAAAGGGGCTACTGACACAATTTCAATTGTGTAAATTCATAAATAAGTTCCTTATCTTGCTTTGTTAAAATTACCCATGTGTTTCCTTGTCATTATCATCCTTAGATAATCTTCTTGGTAAATCAACTGTTCATTTTAACCCCTAAGCCACTATATTCCAATAAACAGTTTTTTTTTTCAAAATTTGGGTCAACAATCTACCCAAAATTTGAAGTACAAAAAGAATTATAAACAGCAGTTTATTGAATAGTCTTGCCCTCTCTACTTCTCAAAATGAACTCATCCAGGTGATGTATATATGATATAATGTAGCTGTGGCAGCCAAATGGACATGATTTAACACAATTTGACTGTAGGTATTTTGGAACACATAACACTTTTGGGAATTATATTTGAGAATGGGAAACCTAATTTTGTTATAAGCATTTGCAACAGTTCAAAAGCAATTGTGATTGTTTCAAGAAGTGATCAGTTTCAAATAACTTTATTCATATAATATAAACAGTGCTGTTCAAGAAATGGAATGGTAGGCAGAAACCTATAATTAATATCAAAATTTGATAAACCTACAATTAATACTAGATTTTTATAAATCTATAATATTGGATTTACTTTGAAACCTATAATTGATACCCAATTTTGATTTTGATCTTTTAAATACAGGTTGAGTATCCTTTATCTGAAATTCCAAAATCCAAAAAATTTTCAGGTGTTGGTATGACTTGACACAAATGGAAAATTTCAAAAAATACTAGAAAGGCTCCTAGGTGATGTGCAGCTGTTGTAAGTGACCTCATCTGCCCTGTGTGGTGGTTCTCCAGCCCAGCTATCTAGCTTACGTTGGCACCAGTTTTTTGAAACAACTGCCACAACAATACCTTTATTCGTGGATTACTTACATGTTTTGTGCTCAGTAGAGATATTATTCAAAATGCCAAAAAGTCCTGCATTTATATATTTTTTGTAAGTAGTGATCATGTTTTTGCACATGTACAGAAAGTACAAAACATTATTTTTACATGAAGTCTTAGCATCATTACCTGTATCTGTATGTACATAAAACTTATTAAATTTTATATAAAACTATTTTCAGAGTATATGTTATTTATATAAAACTACCTTCAGGGTACATATAAGCGGTTTTATGAAATGTAAAGGGATATCATGTTTATGCTTTGGTTCCATTCCCAAGATACTCCATTTTATAGATGCTATATACAAATTAAATAGCCTGTATTCCAAAATCCCCAAAAATCTGAAAACCAAAACACTTCCCTTCCCAAGAATTTCAGATAAAGGATTCAGAACCTGTATTACCAGATTTTACAGTAGGCATTAATGAGTTAATAAATATGAAGTTAGAGAAAATAATATTAACATTAACAGAAATTTCGACAAGTCCATAGAGGGAAGCCTTTGGGTTAAAGAGGCTGTGAGTAAAAATTACTAAAATTAAAATTAGTTCACATCATTTTCATAAGAGGAAATTTGGAGGGTCTTCCCCCTACCGGGCCCTTACTTAGAGACAGGCCCCTCTAATTTACATTTTATTTCTGAATAATATTTTTAATTTCAATGAATACACATTTACCTAAATATGACTAATCTCTATTTTATAACAAAATGTACAGAAACATGACATACCAAACCTCTAACCAATTTCTAACACCCTTTCATTATACACATTAATATCTGCTTAACTATCTGATTCTTACAATAAGTTCTTTTTTCCCACCTATTTATTTTCCAACCCCATTTTTGAAGTTATATCAAATATTATTTTAGCCTGTCACACATCACTGAGCAGACCCTGAATTTTCACTTATTGCAATGAATGGGTGCTCTCTCAGGGATGCCCTGTGCCTTGAGTGCCTATTAGGATTTAAACTCAACTTATACCTCAATATTACCTATTGCTAAAGATGCTGGAAAAATGTTTGGTTTCCTGTACTTCTTCAGTAAGTAACTGACTCCTCCTGTTATCCTTTAACTTTACAAGAGCCAGATCAGGTCAGAAATGATGAACTGCTACTATATATGGGCAGGAGCTGCTCAGTCTTCACTTTCCAGTCTCAGTAGAGTCCAAAAGCATATCCATATCCTTGTGAGTGACAAATTATTGTCCACCCTACAACCCCTTTCCAATGGATGAAATGCCACAAGCCTCTTGCTGTTCTATCACTATTTCCATAGACAGTGTTCAGACGAACTACATTCCTTAGTTCCAACAGTTCTAACCTTCATAGCTAAAACCCACCATGCCAGGCACATTATAACAAACCACACTCATTCACTTTGTATTCCATTGGTGAGATGCAAATTCCATTTGAGCAGTTTCTTCCCATAAACTGCTGCTTTGTAGAACCAACTCCCAAGAGGATGCTTCCACAATCACTACAATCTTAGCCAAGTCTAACATCAATCATTATCTTTCCCACATACACTCATAAACTGTCCCTCTTACTTTTTAGCCCTCTACCTTGAATGGCTCTTGAGTCTTGTACAGAGTGAACATCATTGTAAAAAAAAAAATACTCATTTAGCTGAGAAATTTATCACAACTAATTTCATGAGATTTTCAATTAATTAAACACTTCAAGCCTGATTAATAATTTTTCATAAAGCAGCATAAGATTCTACAGTACTTATTATCAATCAGACAATGTATTGTCAATCAAGTTGAAACTTCCCATTGCTTTTGTTCATACTTACTTTTTGAAAGAGGTAATAAGGATGCTCGCACTTTGTCAACTGTAGGTATTTGTTGCCGGGTGGTAGCCATGTCCCTCCCAATAAAATAATGAGATGGTCTCTTTACAGGTTTCCTTCCAACTGAACTTTTCAAAGAATCTGCAAGTGACAAAGAATGTTTAACCATGAAAGATAAGGGAAACAATGTTTTATACATGAAACAACAATATAATTAAAAAAGACAAGGAAAATGATAATATCCAGATATTTTTTCTTACTAACCCTTTAAACCCTAGCCTGCTGATGAGTATGGATCTCCCTACCTGGGCTCCTGCTTTCCATCTCATAAAGCCACACACTAGAAAAATATACATTTTGCTCACAAAAACTCTGGCACTTTAGGCAACCTAGTATTCAATAAAACACACTGTTGTTGGTTGAAATTCACTGATATATTAGATAATATTAGATAAAACATTCTGTGATTGGCTGAAATACCCAGGCCAAATTATGGGTGAAGTTCAATGTTGTAAACAAAATACACATGTCCTGGGCTATATACAATTTCACACAGCTGCCAATATACCTGCTGCTCCATGTTCAAAGAATTAAGAAAATAATGTCACTAATGTAATACTATTCAACAATGTGATGTGCTAAAGATAAAGATTGTTAATGACATATTCAAAAGATGTGTCACTGACACATGATTGATTGATGGCAAAGCACATAATCTAGTTAAATGACTTAAGAACATATCAGAATTATATGGCTTTGACCATGAAATATGGTAAGCATCAAAATGTCATCATAAGGCTGGAAGTGGTCAGACGAAATGAGAAAGTGAAAAACTTCATTTTTTGTTCAACTTCTTTCATGCTTCATCCTACATCTGAATGAATAAAATTACAGTTATCAACAAAAGAAGTGCATTTTTTATCACTACAAAATATGAGACAAAATGAAGATCACAGGCCATTCGCAACCATTTTTTTAATTATATGCAGCACTGTGAGTGATCATTTCATAACACATCAAACTCTAATATTACATTAAGAGGGCATAGAAGTAGTGATCTATCTAACTGTAGTTAAGTTAATGGCCAAAATTATTTGATACATGGTCTTTATTAAGTTATTATGAACTCCATGATCTTTTTGTTGGCTGCATAGGGTATGCTTTGCCAGGGCTACACGATTTCAAATTCAAAATTGTATTTTTTTAAACTAGAGAGTCCCGTCTCCCCTGCTATTTAACCCATAGTTGGGAGAAGTAGCATCTACTATCAGAAGTAATGATAGTAGATGCAATTTCTGTAAAAATGTGTGTCTAAATCAAGCAACATGAATTACACTTTGTTTCCTTCACAAAATTAAGTCAGTTTACTTATTCATGTGGTTTTTGTTTTTTTGCTGCCGTAGTTGAGTCTTTCCCATTGAGGATAACCCGGCACTCAAGCCCAGGTAAAAAAAAAACCCTCTAAAAACAGGGTTTTGAATGCTCATTTTCCCTCTAGTAAGACTGACACAATATACTCTATCTATTCCATTTTTCAGTTTTTGCCCTTTATAAAGCTCAGCTTAATAAATATCAATAACAGATAAAGCCAGAACTCATAGTTGAAATAGTTGTACAATGTGAGATGGATAAATTGTCATTTAAATTAAACAAAAAGGAAAATAATACCGACATTTTATTTTAACGGATATATTTACTAAAATCACACAAAAATATCTTGAAATACTAAGGAGTAAATTTATTCAATAAAATCACCATTGGCTTCAACCACAGACTCCAGATAACTTCATAATCTCCTGCAGCTCTTCTGGACAGTCTACTTGTTTACGTTTGTGAATGTTGCCATAATCATTGCCTTCCATTCATCTTTGGTGATACAAGGAGTTTTGTTGGTCTCTTGCTCAACTGTGTCCCATACATAATAATCAAGGGTGTTGCAATCTGGGGAGTTAGGTGGCCAGATGTAAGAGGTGATGTGGTTGCAGTAATTGTCCGAGAGCCATGACTGGGTTTTCTTGCTTGTATGACATGGTGCAGAGTCCTGTTACCTGACATAGGGTCTTCCAGCAGGCACCATCTTGACCCAGAGCAACACTATCATCTCAAGGCACTTGATAATAGGCCTCCGTGTTGAGTCTGAGGCCCTCACCAACAAATTTGTGAGTTCTTTTCTTATCAGAATGATCAGAGTGAGTTTTCCGAGTTGCCGTACATTCGTAATCACTATTAGATTCAGCCAACTCTTTCCAAATCCTCTGCACTGTCCTCACATTGACACTCACTCTAAGAACCTAGATGAGTGACCACTTGGGAATACCAGGTGCTGTAAGCATAGATGTGGGGGTGGTGTAATGGAAAATGGCTCAGAATTTTTAATTGGAGAGCAGAGTCCCAATTCCCATTGGGTTCGTTATATTCACTTATGTGCAAATACCCTTGGGAAAGATGTGAACCCTAGGATTGCTTTGATATAGCCCACTGTAACTTTGATTTTTTTCTGTTTAGGTTTGTTACTACTGTTTTTTTGTTGTTTTTTCAGCATCTAAATCCAATTTAATTCAGCTGATTTCTTACCTTTTTGTCATAAACATTTGATTCCTACTTTTGCTTACTTATTTTTCATCTGTTTGTTGTGCACTTTTTATTTTCAAATCATATTGATTTCAGTTTTCTATCCTAATAGTCTGGCATCTTCTGTGGTCTACATGTATAACCTTTTCATTTCTTTTTATCCTTGCATCAAATTTTAGACACCACTGATTGGATGCATCTTCTCACCAGATTTATTTAACCTATACATCAAAGCACTCCTAAGAGAACTAGAAGTTCTATCAAGATTTATTACTGGTGGGAACAATTTTTTTATATGATACATAGATGACACTGTGTTAATGGCAAACACACAAAGAAAACTACAGAAACTTCTAGACATGATAGTAAAGGAATTAATGAATTATTGTTTTAAAATTACAAAAAAAAAAACAAAAGAGTTAAACATAACCTTTTAGAAGGAAAGGATTTTTTTTCATGTCAGTTAACTTGGCAACCTTTTCTCGCTGCTGTTTTTCTAATTCAAATCTCTTCTTTTCTTTGTCGAGCGTCTGTGTTTTGGTTGTGTTAGATATTTCCGAAATATCCGTTTTGTGTGAGTAGGGCTTTTTCTTTCGTGCACCCAAACTCTTTTCTTCTTCTTCGATTTCCTCCTCCTCCTCTTCCTCTTCTTCTTCTACATCTTCTTTTTCTCTGGCAGAAACTTCGAGCAGGTTTTTATTACTCCCTTTAGGGGTTCTATAAAAAAATATCAATACTTTATACATTCATCCATAAAAATGACAAACAAAAAAAATATTTATTTTTATTACTTTTGCATTGAAGTTGAAAACTTGGAGAATTTAACACATACAGGACATTGTGAAGACAAGAGAAGCAAGAAGAAACAATGAGTAACCTACCTGATGAGTTGGAGTGAATAGATAGCAGAACAAAGACAAAGAGAAGTGGTAAAAGCATAAGAGTTATAAAGCAGATGAAATTGGGGAGAGGCAAAAGTTAAAAGAAAATTTTTATTTAAAAAATCTGCATATTTATTGAGGAAATCCTGAAAAAGCCCAAGCAAGAAATAAACACTACAGTAATCCATCATCTCTCAAAGACTTGTTTGACATCAATAAAGAAAATGAAATGACCATAAAACAAGTATCTCTGATAATTATACATTACAATCATTTTCTTTTTTGGTTGAAAAAGTTGCATCCTCTTGAATGTCACTGCCCCAGAAAACAGATACTGAAAAATTAAATGCTGCCACCCAATTTCATCTACTGTCAGTTGCTGCAAGTGTTTCTTAGAGGTTGAAGAGAAGCAAAATTTTTTAAATATTTCCTTCTTAGATTATAAAATTTTTTAGTGTGATTTCACTTTATCAAGATCTTTCAGTATTTGATCATGAAGCAAGATCTAGATAAAAAAAATGTTATTAAATAATGAAAAATGAAATACTTGTTTTTCATTTCAAAATGAAATTGCTTGATAAGCAAATTAAATGAGAAATACAATTTCTACACTTGTGTTGGTAAAATACGATTTTACTATTTTTAATCATTACATCTTGAAAAATAAATTTGAATATAATCAAATCTTCAATTTATTTAACAGATGATTAGCAAACTTCATGCATGTAAAAGACAGTGTCAAAAGGATGGTTTTTCCTATGCTTTTTTTAACTACCTTCATTCTTTGACAATGTATTGTTTTAAAAAGCCATCATAAGAATTGGAATAAAACCTGAACATATGATGAAAGTGAATTTATACATTTTTTTGTTCTTAAAAATTTACAACAAAATTACTAAACACTATTTATTTTTAGCTTGTTTATTCATAAGAATAATTTTATATTTACAACATTCTAAAAACTAATACATTTGTATTAAAACTAATGCAATATTTATCATTTACCAATTTATAATGAAATAAATATGGAAAACAATTTTTTATTCATAAATTTATAAATATTTAGTAAATTATTAAAATATGTCAACCAGCTATAAGAAAATCCTTATTGGTTACCATTCTATAAAGTTTAAATCAATTGACAATTAGACAATGTTTTGCCAACTATTCCAATAAACAATCTAATAAACAAATAATGTTTATTATTTTTGTTGTCAATTCTCAAGAACAAAGAATATGTATAAATTCACTTTCAGGTTTAGGTTTTATTAACTTTCTAATCATTGCCTTTTAAACAATAAACATTGCTATGGGAGTAAGTGAAAGTAATTAATATAATAATAGTGTCAAGGAAAAAACTGTCCTTTTAACACTCAGTCTCAAGCACAAAGGTCTAAGTTTGCCATATGATTTTTTAAACACTGCTTGTTTTTACTGTGAGGTTTTATAAAAATTTATCTCACACTATTGAGGAAAAGATCACACCCTCATGGATTTTGTTATATCCAGATAAAAATATCTAACATGTATTTTTATTTATATACTGACTATTGTCCTCATCTTTGTTGTTTTTATCACAATGTTTCAGCTGTTGTGCTCTCCAGCCTTCATCAAGTCTTTGTTGATATAGGTAACCTTCAAGGAATTTTGAAATGAACCTTTTATTTAATATATGTAAGTAGATTGTTCTTGCCCTGCTGACCATATCTAGGGATATCACATCTAATTCTTATATTAGTACTGCTCAGTCAGTGCTCACTCTGTTTCCACTGTCCAAGTACACACTGCATGACCTAGGGACTGAATTCACAATTAATATGAACCAATACTTTAAGCCACCAGGCTATTGTCATGCAGGAGAATTTTAAGTGGAGAATTTGGAGCCTTGAACCTAACCTGCTTGCTGATGATTATTTTGCATGCATATCTTGGTTGACTACTGCAGCTGCTGTTGAAACCTTGCTGTCATTTCTCTTTCTTTATTAATGGTATCCATATCATGTTAGACCTATAATGTAGTTCTCATAGCCTAGCATATAAGCTGATTCTTTCAGATATTTGACTTTTCAGTGTTCTTCTCTGTCTAGAAATTTTATTTTATTTCAGAGGTGTTGATGACAACCCTTTTCCATCTATACATGAACTGCAATACCTGATTCCATTGTCATATGCCTAATTACAGCTTTCTGATGTTCCTCTAGCCTTGTCTTTTAGTTTGCATGTAAATAATGTAAATAATGGTAACACCTCACCCCCAAAATTATTGATTTTTATGAATGAAAAGTTACTGACCTTTGAAGATTTTGGTTTGCCTTAAGTTTTTTGCTTGCCTTAAGACCTTTTCTTGCCTTATCTTTGTTTGCCTTCAACTTTGCTTCTTTAAGCTTAAGTTCAGTAAGGTTATCTTCAGAAACATACTTTGACTTTAACTGTTCATTTAAAATGGATTCAGTATCCAAATCCGTTTCCTCATCTTCTTCATCTTCGTCAGCCAGGCTTTCAGCTAATTCATGTTCTTTTAATCTTTCTTTATCATCTTCTGATTGTATAATTTTATCAGCATCAAATAAAACTTCTTCTATTTCTTCTGTTGGAAGCTGAGAGATCTTTTGCTCTTCAACAAAATCCTTTTTAGCAATTTCCTCTTCAACGCCTTTAAGTTGAGAATCCGCTTGCAGATCCTTTTTACCCTGAAGATCTGAAGCGAAAAAAAAATAATGTTATTCAAGTTTTTACCTTTTTGACTTTTGTATCAATTGAAATTCACATTAGAGAACAACACAAAAATTAAAAGTCTTTTTCTCTTGTTTCATCAAATGTTCTTTTCAGTGGCATAACAATTTAGCAAATATCACATTTTGAACAGTTCTAATAAATTACACTTTTACTTTAAAATATTTTTATATTGAAAAAAGAAGATTTTTCCAAATAATTAAAAATGTAAACTTTCTATTGGCTACTTAAAGCCATTACTTTGTATTACTTTTTATGAAGGAAATTTTTACATTTGTTATATAAGTAAATAAAATATTCATTTTAAATAGATAGATGAAAGCAGAAAAGAGGAAATGTTCTTTAATATGCAAATCAATAATGCTGTTCAGATTTGTCATCTCAATTTTCATCTTTTCACTACTATATGCATCAAGCAATAATAACTGCAACATTTTCATTTTTTTACTAAACTCATTTAAACAATCAAATAAAAAGGTTCTTGCCATAATGTTTGCTGTCAAAGAGTGTTTTCCAAAAGTCAAGTAAAAGCCAGGAGTTCAAGTGTTGATTTTCTAGGTATGCAAGTCCTTCTCATTAAATCTTCCTATTTGCATTTTGTAATGTGTAGTACTAAGTTGATTTAATATCAAAAAGCCTACTTTATAGCCAAGATGGTTTCATATTTCCAACTAGTGCCAGATGCCAGGGTTTGAACCCAAATAAAAGCCAGGACTTTGAAGGCTGATGTAACACTATCTTCTCATCCCCCATTTTTCCCAATATATCAGGTCATCCCATAAGTTCTGTCCGAATTTTGAATAAAGAAAACAAGTGACCAAATGTTACATTTAATTACAGATTCAATCAACAATGTATTTTCCCTGATTATTTCCTTCCATCTATTAACAAACTTACTAATTCCATTACTGTAAAATTCTTTTGGCTTTGATTCGAAGAATTCACAAATGTCAGTTTTAACCCCTTCCTGTGTTACAAAAGCTGTTTCTTTCAAATGATTCTGTAAGCTACGAAAGAAATGGTAGTCTGAAGGAGCAAGATTGGGAGAATAAGGTGGATGAGGAATTTTCTCCTAGCCAAGTTCTTCGATCTTTTGTGATGTGATACTTGCTGTGTGGGGTTGTGCATTGTCCTGATGAAACATCACCTCTTTTCGATTCACTAAAGCAGGTCTTTTTTTCCTCAAAGCTTGGTTCAAATGCTCTAATAGCTGACAGTATATTTGAGCATTAATTGTTGCATTAGATGGTAAGAATTCAAAGTGGATTATTCCTTGGCGATACCACCAGAAGAAAGAAGAACCTTTTGCCCATGAAGTTCCCTTCTCGGCTGTGGCTGGGGTCCTTCCCCTTTACCAAGCCACTGTCTACGATGCTTAACATTTCGATAAAAGATCCATTTTTCGTTGCCAGTCACAAGTCTATCCAAAAAAGGTGAAACAAGTTGGCGAGAATGGAGAGAAGAGCAGATGTCAACTCGGGATTTTCCAAGTTTAGGAACTTTTCCAAGTTGTTGAAGATGACGTATGGTTTGAACTGAGAACCACTGCCAATTCCTCAACTGATAAAGCAGGATTTTCTTCAAGGGCTGCTTCAAGAAGCTTTTCATCAAACTCAACTGGATGTCCAGTTCGATCTTCATCTTCAAGGGTGAAATATTCACCTCTGAATTTCGCAAACCATCTTCTGCAAGTTCTTTCATTCACACATTCCTCTCCATAAACTGAGTGAATGTTTCTAGCCGCTTCGGCTGCTGAGTATCCTTTCTTGAACTCATAAAGCATTATGTGCCTCAAATGATTCTTGGGTACTTCCATGTTAGCAGGGTTTTAATCAAACAAAATTTAATTTTATTGTTCTCTGAAATAAAATTTGATCAGTTTAAATGCATCTAAAAATAAAAATAATGTTCAGCTCCATTAGACATTATAAAATACTCTTTAAATTTCGTTCATTTTAACAAAAAGTTAAAATTCGGACAGAACTTATGGGATGACCTGATAAATAAGCTAAGCTTAGTAAAAATTTCTGTTTGACTTCTCTATTTAAGTTGTTCAGTCTGATTTCTCCATTTCTATATTTATTGCCTAAGTATCCTAACTGAAAAAGGAATAATTTCTCCATTTCCAATGCTGAAAACATTAATTTTATCTTTTATCAAAAAAAATTCTTTAAAAGAATAAAATCACATTGTTTAACCTTCATGCCTGCAATAAAGTGACATGTCAAAAGGATGTTTATTCCTTTGTTGCTACAATTAATGTACATACTTTTGATTCCCTCGGTAGTGTTTATTGTTTTTAAAAAGCGATGATTAAAATTTAAAATCCACATATATATATATATATATATATATATATATATATATATATATATATTTAAAATTTCAACAGTGTGTATTGGTCAATAAAAATTTCAACAGTGTGTATTGATCAATTTTCATAATACTCAATGCCAGCTTATGTAATTGTTTGAAAAGGTAACAAAATTGTTGATAGGAGGTTCTTTAGTTGTCATTGGTAAGGGAATCAATTAGGTGTAAAGGTATTGTTGGTAAAGCAGGGAGATGACAGATTTGTTGGGTTGGCTGACTGAGGTCATGGTGGTGATGACGAGAGAGGCCTGGAGTGGATTAATGAAGCTACATGGTAGCATGAGTGGGGTGTCATTGGTAGGGTCTATCTTCAAGGTTGAAATTGACACTTTGTGTGTATGGGCTAGTGATCATGTGAAGAGTTCAAAGTGTTGAGCCAAACTACCTGTTGTCAGCGAGGTGTGCCATTTTTATATCTGTGGTTTAACAAGTGCTGATTCTCAGTCTCATCTCTTTTTTGGCAGCAATGTTTGTGTTTGGCTATTGTATTTTAGATTTTTGCAGGAATTTGTTTTTTTTTTAAACAAAAGTGATACTTGGAGCTCCTGTGTAGAAGACAACTTTTTGATTTTGGGTTAGACTTTCTTAGCATTCATGTCTGGTCAATATGTCTAGTAAAATGTATTTGTGAATTAAAAATAGATTTTGATTAATTTTTTAAGTTTTTATAAATTTTTGAATAAAAAGATTTCTTTTCAAATGTATTTTTTTAATAAAATAGTGAATAATAAATCTTTATAAAAGGTAAATAATAAATATTACTTTGTACTTGGTTAACATATCTTTATAATCTTGTAAATAAACATAGCTGAAGGTGTCAAAAGTGCATACAGTAATAGCAGTGTCTAGGGAATAACAACTTCTGCAGGCACAAAAATTAAACATTGCCAATAAAAAAATTTATCTAAGTAATAATAATAACTAGAAAATCTCTTTTTGGATGAACATATGTTCTCTACCAGCTCTCTATTTATGCATGTACCTTGTTTCTGCTTCTTCAATGTTTAGCATCAAATCTTCTCTTCTAATTAAACAGTAAACAGAATCATGTAAACTAGAAAACTAGTACCATCCAGAAGTTACACATAATGCTTGTGAAAAGAGAAGAGTTAGCAGACCTTAGTTTTACCAAAACTATTATTTATCCACAATCTATATCTACCACAACTGTTGAAGAGAGGCTGGATATCTACCAAGAGTGATCTTGATAATGGTAATGATGATGATGTTTGATTACAGAAGATACCAGTCATTAAGATGTGACTACATATAAGTTTGTAACATACATATACAATTATTTGTACAAACTGAGAGATATTCATCAAAGAAAATTTTATTTTCTTAAAAAATAAGATAGGAAAAATCAAAAACCTTTCCTCTATTTTCAAAAAGCTGTCAACACTTGTGACCATTATTAAAAAGAAGAAAAGCTTTCAGATTACTAAACTTTAACAACAAAATAGAAAAAGTGTTAAAAACAGACACCATTGCATATTTCCTAATACTGATAAAAGATTAATGTTTGATCCCAAGTAAAAGTTAGTATTTCAAATATTGATTTTTAAGACAGACAGGCCATTGTGATTTAGAAGCTTGGCATAACACAATCTTCCTCTTCCATACATTTGACCTTATTACTTAGTACTTCATAAGGTCAAATGAGAAGAAATTGGTGTAGGAAGATTGTGTCACATCAAACACCCAAGGGAGAAGGATGTGCTAGCCTTGAAAATAAACATTTGAAATCCTGGTGCCAGTGGTAAATGTACAACTATCTCAGCCACTGTGCAGCCCCTGCATATATTGTTTTTTCTATTTATAACTGAATTTAAAAGACAACATAACAAGTAAGCACCTGAATATTTAGAAAAATGATTGTTCTACAAATGAAAGAAAGTTTGATATGTGCATACCTTCAGTCTGCTCAATAGAACTAGATATAACTCCTTTTCCTGCCTTTTCCTAAAAATCATAACATTTAAAACAAGCTCATTAAATAACAGTTGATTAAATAATTAATTGCATGTGACATTTCAAAATGGGCTGCAAGAATTACGAAATAAAATTATTATCAATGTTTACAAGTAATTATGAATATGTATTTGTACTGCTGGAATTTAATGTTTTCATATAAGAATCCAAAATTATATATATATATATATATATATATATATATATATATATATTATTTATTTTAGGATATTAAACTGAAAACATGTCAAAATCACTACACAATTGCAGTCGTGTTACAATGCATAACGATGTCTTTTATCAGGCGATTGTAAATTACTGGCGAATGAATGATTTATTTAGATTTTAAAAGCAAAATACAACCTCTATTTATGAAAAAAGAAAAAAGTAGGTGGTTGTTATAAGTTTTGTGGGCTTTACTCTGATTGACCAATCAAATATGACCTACGTTAACTTTGAACTAAGCGAAGAAGCAAAAATTAAAAACATTTTTTTTTTATAAATGTGTTATGACCCATAGATTGGCAGCTAATGAGAACCAGATATAAATGGATACATAAATTATACAAACAGATAATGCCATTACCTAAGAAATAAAAATGGGGTGGAGAGGTAATTTAG